TAAAGCTCAGACCACCATCAAATTTTTAATGGAAAAGGGCAATTTTGCATTTTGTAACTTTTAATAGTCAAATGACTCAACTGAGCAACTCCCTATAATCAGAGGACCATTTTATAACTTTTAATAGTTAGAGAATTTAAAAGAGTAATATTCTATAGTCAGGTGACCATTTATATACTTTTCTCTTATTTATATTAAAAAAACATAATTTAGGGTAAACTATACATTTAGTACCTAAACTATCAATTTTAATCCGTTTTAATATCTAAACTTATAATTTTTTTCAAAATAATATCTAAAATTTTGTTTTTGTTTCATTTTATTACCCATTCAAATTCACCGTTAAGTTTTAAAAAAATTAAAAATTTAAATACTAAAATAAATCAAAATTGATGATTTAAATATTAAAGAGGTAGTTTACGTAAAACGAAGAAAATCATACCCAGCTAGGCTTACTGGCAGCAGGACCATCCATGCCAATATGAGCAACATGCTTTACGTCCGTAGGATTCCCTATTTGCATTTCTTGTTCTTTTTCTTTTTCTTCTGCACTCAAAATTTGTCACAGTTCAGTTTAGTTGTAAAGGAGACTAGACGTATAGTAAGTTATTCGAGATCGAATCCATCAAAATTTGATAAATACTCGATTTAAATGAAATCAGCTCGAGCTCGATTCAAGTTTTTAACTATCCTAAACGAGTTAAAATAAAATAAAATAAAATAAAACTAGGGGGGGAATGGCTATATACTCACCAAACATACTGTGAAGGTTTCTTAAACCTTTGAGAAGACCCTTCATATCTGGTGCGAGTAATTTGGGATCCTTTGGCAATGTCAATACGAAATTAACAGCATCAGCCGGAGAAGAAGATAATGGAGCGGTATATGTTCTCATTCACAATAACGCCATTCTTTCGATTCAGAATCTCTCCTCCCTTTTAACGATGTTTGCGATCCGAAGAAATCAAAACCTTTGGTTTTTCTTGATAACCAAGCGACGATTTGGGGAGTGGGATAAAAAAGGTATGAAATCAAAAAGAAAAAAAGGCCGAAAACCCTTTCGATCCTTGATTGTTGAAGCAACGATTTGTTCCGTTCGAATTGGGGCTCGTCCACAATCAAGAAAAGAGAGAGGGGGAGATGTGTGTGAAGGGTGGGAAAATCACGAAGAATGAAAGTGAAGGGAAAGGGGAGGGATGTTTTGATTGGCGGGCAGAGGGGGCTGTTTGGTCAACGGGAAAATCGAGCGTTGACCGCTTTTTCAGGTGGAGATGCCCCTTGGGAGGAGGGGAGGGTTTAAGCTCAAAGCTCCTATTTTTGGCCTTTTCTTTTTCCTCTTTTTGTTTTTACAATATTTATATTTAGAATATTTTATTTCCTACCAATTAATAATAAGTTAAACATAATTGCTTTTTAATTGCTAATTTCTCTCTATTTTAGAAAATTAGTCCCACAATAAAATTATAACTTAAAATATATGTATTTCTGTTTAAAAATTGAATCGAAAATAAAGAAAGATATAGATCGAGTCGAGTCATATTTTTTATAAACATAATTTTTTTTATATATGTATTTCTGTTTAATATTTTATATGATCTGATTTTTAAGATAAAAACACGAATTTCACTCAATCCAATATATATATATATATACTGATAACTTTTTTTATTTACATCATACAATTTGTTGGTATAAAATTTAAAATTATTTATATTTTGTAATCTCTAAGATCAAAATTATGCATATTAATTATATGAATTCTAAATCCACCCAATTTTAATTGCATTTATTGTGTGACTCACTTCATATAACACATTAGACTATCTAGAAAATTTTAATGTGAGTTCATTAACATTAATTGGAATATATTTTATTTAAAATATTAAATATATTTTAAAATTACATACAAACTACAATAAATATCAAATATATTAATATCTAGAGGATTCCAAAGTGTATTTATACATTGTTTACTTAAAATTACATATATTTCAAAGGATTTACTCTAAAATAATTGCTCAAATTATACCGTTTGTCCTAAATAGGTGTCCAAACTTTTATTGAGTCATTCAGATGCCTAATGTTACAAACGTTACAACTTTAGGTGATTGGGTCGTAACGATCGTTAATTACATGTCACGCTCTGATAATCCCTAAATCCACATCGATCGTGTTTGTTTGACATCGATCGGACCTCCACTATACGAAAAGCCAAACCTAACTATAATCGTCGCGTCTCCGAAATAAGAAACGACAAAATCACACTCTCGCGAACTCAAACCCCAAAATTCATGAAACCCAAGCGATCCAACGACGCACATGGCTGCAGATGAGACAATGGCCATCTATGGAGATGGTAAGGGTGGCGGCGATGATGGCCATGGCCCCATGGCCGAGTGATTGCTAGACTTAAAAAGGAAAGGGATGAAGCCAGGTCTTTGCTTGCACAGGCTGAGAGGCAGGCCCCCTTGCCAGCATCAGCTGCTACTGCCGATGTTGCTGCTCTTAGTAATGGAAAGCGAGGTTCTTTCTCAGTTTAGCTAATTCTGTATCCTATCTGAAAATCATTTCTGTGATCATAGCACCAGAGGATGAAGATATGGGTCCTGGTTCAAAGTGAACACGCTTTGGGGTTTCTGAGTGTATTATTGCAGAGTTAACAGAATGTAATGCAGCTCTGACACGACAGCGTAAAAAGCGTCAGGTACTCTTCACCCTGTTTAGTTTGATTAACTCCAACAATGTCTTTGATGTCAATATCTTCGTATTATCCGATCGGGTTTTAGTTTAAGAATTGAGGGGGGGAGGGGAGGGCAGGTCAGGTATAAGCTATAGATTTTCGGGTCGGAGTTGGGGCGGGTGAAAATCCATTAATATGAGTCAGTTCTGTTTCGACAGGTTGAAGACCCTTCAAATCCCATGGGCTATACTCTGCTGCTTTTCATCATGATGGTCTCATCACAGACACCACAGAATCCACTGTTAGAATCTGGGATGTGAAGAGTCGGGTATGGAGCAAATCATGTTATGAGACCTGAACTTCATGTTTTCCGATGATGCATTCGTCTTCCGGTCATTCCTGACTGCCAGCTGAAGATGAAAATGAAATGTTCTCCTGTATTTGCAGGTAGAGCAACTTGTGTCAAATTCGGTTCAGATGCAAAGTACTTGGCAGTGGGATCAATGGATCGTAACCTCCGTATATTCGGCCTTCCGGAAGAAGATGCTAATGGAGTCTTGAAAGGCCACTTCAGTTTAGCTTGTTCGACAAGTCGGCTCTGAAAACACTACACTACTGCTAATCCCGACCGTCGTATGTCGTGATCGAGAAGTCAAACTCGTTGTTCAAAATACATTTGAGGGTTAGGCAAATGATGTCTGCCAGGTTTGGACATTCTTCCGGTAATGAATGTGCCTTTGTATCCTGGATGTCCTTAGATGAGGTGGGTGAGGGTGGTCGCCCCCTAAAAACTAAAAATTATTATATATTTTAGATTTTATTTATGTATTTTATGTTAAAAATTTATTTTTGCCCCTTTAACATTTTATTAGTTTAAGTTTATCTCCTAAAATTTTATAAGTTCAAGTTCACCCCTAACATGAAATGATGCATGATCCCTATTTATATCAGTCAAGAAATAAAAAGCAGATCAATAGCTTCTCACTTTTATCACAGAGAACATAGAAATTATTGTATATTCATTTTTAACTCTATTTTTTTGGTCACATTATGTAACATTGTTTGGTTCAAATTACAACAAAAGAAAACTCAAATACATATAACACAAAAATATAATAAAATTTTGGGGTAAATGATGCATTTAGTATCTAAACTATTAGATTTGATCTATTTTAGTATTTAAACTTTTTATTTTTTTTAAATCACATTTAATGTTTAATTTTTGTTTCATTCTAATACCTTGCCATTAAAAACTTGACGACACTGCATTTTTAAGGGTAAATTACATTATTCATAACCCAACTATCTTCTCACTCCTATTTTAGTACTAAAGTGATTTTATTACTCTAATTTATTTTATTAATATTTTTTTTCACATGAAAATTTTTATTATTGTTTTATTAATATATATTTAAAAATAAAAAATAAATTTGAAAGTTAGAGTGATTAAATTAGGAGTAATTTAAAAAATAAGTAATTAAATTAAAAAATTTAAACTTTAGTGACTAAAATAGAAGTGAGAAGATAGTTAAGTGATGAAATTTACCCATAAAAAGAGGTGACACTTGTAAACACTTGTTAAGTTTTTAACGAAGAGGTATTAAAACGAAACAAAAGCTAAATGTTAGATATTGTTTAAAAAAAAAGTTTAGATACTAAAACATACCAAAATTGATTGTTTAAGTATTAAATGCATAATTTACCCAAAATTCTTTACTAATTATTAACCGATACAGAAGAATGAAATATTAGATCGATTGAAAAAAGTCTAAGACTTTTTTTTATTAATATGGGGTAAGTACAAGATAGTATTTATTGAAAGAAACTCTCAAACTTTTGACATTGAACGCTCACACACATGCCATCTATGGGTTGAAAAATTATCTTCGTGATAAATTATTGATAATATATTTTAAATTAATCGATTATCATTAATAAAAAAAACACATAATAAATCAACCAAATTTCTAAGAGTCTAGGCTCAAAATAGAAAAATCTTAAATTCTATTTTAAAAAATTAAATTTTAATTAGTGGATATTTAAAAAACAACCAAAGAAAAATGTAACAAACAACGGTTTCATCTCTATGACCACAGATTCACACTGCATTTCCAAAATATAATTAAACTTTTTCTTCTTTATTTTTCGGTTTTCCCATGCACTCTTCGTCGTCTAAAACCACTTTTAGCGACGAAGAGTGATACAAACGTCGTGGAAAACTACCCTTGGCGACAAAGTTCGTCTTAGTTAATATTGAATTATATGATTCATATTAACGATGAAAAGTAAAGAAATAGCGACGATAATAAAGTTTAATACCTTCCATTAGTGACGGTTTTTTAATCTTCTACTTCGTCGTCACTGAAATTATGGATGTTTCGACACCGCTCCGGCTATTGGAACTCAACCTGATATCTGCTCAAGATTTGGAACCCATCGTCCGCCGCGGAATGAAGACGTACGCGGTGGCTTGGGTCAACCCGAAACGCAAGCTCACGACCCGAATCGACACCGAAGGCCACACCAACCCGACGTGGAACGATAAGTTCATTTTCCGGGTCGACGACTTGTTCTTGTCCAGTGAAACGTCCGCCGTCATGGTCGAGGTCTACGCCGTCCATTGGTTCCGTGATATCCACGTCGGGACCGTTCGGATCATCGTCGGGAATCTCTTGAAGTCGAGCTCGTCGGGCCATCAATGCCTTGAATTTGAGCTGGGGATGAGGTTCGTCGCGCTTCAGGTCCGGCGGCCTTCGGGTCGGCCGCAAGGCATTTTAAACATCGGGTTGACGTTGCTCGACGGTTCGAGGAGGAGCATGCCGTTGTATATGCAAATGGGTTCATCGGCGGTCGGGTACCAATATTTTATGGGCGAAGACGAGCCGGTTCAAAGCAGTGATCGGAGCAACAACAACAACAACAACCAATTTTCATTTGAACCGATCAAACATGAGCTTCGAAGAACCTTGAGCGATTCGAGTTCGATGTTGGGGTCTCAATATGTGCCGATGATCTCCTTTAAAGGATCGTCCATTTTCAACACCGGCGGCGGCGGTGGCCCGTCGGAAAGAAGCGACTACAAGATCAAATCGAGGGGGAGCTCAATGTTGAATTACACGTTTGAGAACGGTACTAACAAAAAAGAAAAATCAAGCACGATCATATACGGGTCAAGCGGGTTAACATTTGGCGGGTTTGATCACCGGGCTCGGAAGTACGATTCCGATTTGGGACCGTCGCCATCGGAAGTTGCGGCCGCCGTCGCCAAGATCAAGACCCAAAACAAAACGGACGAAGCAGAGAGCTCGTTGGTCGGGAGTTGGAGTTTGGACGAGAGCATGGAAGGGATCGTTTCGAAGCTAGAGAGGTGGAGGGTCGAGCTCCCTCCTATGTACGACCACGACCGCGACGGCTACAGCGACGGAAGCAGAGTTTCTTCTAGTAGTCTGGGGAAGGCTTTGACGGCGCCGAACAAAAAAACAAAACACACCCGAAGACGAAGCTCGCCGGGACTGTTTTCGTGTTTTGGCACCATTTGCGGCCATGAATTTTCCATAAAATGCAGCGGAGCTGGCGGCGGAGCAAATGCAGGGAAGAAAAGAAAAATTTGCACCAAGCCCCTTCAAAGGGTAGCTTGAGTTTGCTTTGAAATCGAGAAAATTTGTACTTAATTCAAAAGAAAAAAAATATTTTTTTTGGTTTTTTTCCGTTTGAAGTATAATTTTCTAAACTATTTTTATATTTAAAAATATTCTTCTTTTGATCTCGTGTTTTAAGAAATCAGTGTTCGTGTGATCATCAATACTCGTCAAGTGTTGTAAAATTATCCTAAAATTATCCGAAAAAATTGAGTTTTAAAGTCAATTATTCGTTAGAATTGTTAAAAATATCAAACGATATCTAAAATTATTATATTGCTACGATCTTATCTCGATTTTTTAAAATTATGAGTTAGAATTTAAATTTAATGTAAAACATACAATTGATCTCGAGAATATGATATTATTTTATTAAGTCTTTTGATTATTAAGAGTTAGAAAATGGTTTTTTATTATAGAGTGCTGTTTTATTGAGTCTCTCAACTATTAAAAGTTATAAAATGTTTACTCGACTATTCATTACGTTCCAAACTAGTCATTTTTTGTTAAGAAATTGACAGTCATCTGAACTGGATGTTAACATTATGATTAAGATATGATAGTCCTTTGAGAATTTATGATCAGATTTTATCTTATCACAGTCAATATGTTAACGTTCAACTATAATAATACCATCCATTTTTATCGGAAAAAGACGAGTTTATAATATAATGAATAATTGAGTGAGTATTTTATAACTTTTAATAATCGATGAATTCAAAAAAAACATTCCATAAACAGAGGACTATTTTATAATATTTTTTTTTGATAATTTGCAATCTTATTATCCAAGAAAAAGTAGCTACAAGAAATAAAGAGTATTCTACAAGAACACAGATACAATAAGCAATCTCTCAAGCCCTGCAAAGAGCCTGGTTAACCCGTCTGTAAATCACTTGTACAACGACCAACAAATTTAACTCTAATCAAGGTCTCAATAGAATAAAAAATCGACTGCCCTTTAATCTATAATTGGAAATCATTTGTATACTTTATCCTTATATTTAATACATGTAAATAGGGTTGTAAATGAGATGAGACAGATCGCGAACTATTCGAGATTGACTCGATCAAGGCTTGATAAATACTCGGATCGAATGGACTCGACTCAAGCTCGACTCGAGCCGAAACGAGCTACTTGATATTCGACTCGAAAAGCTCGTGAGCAACTAAAAAATATAATATATTAAGATTTTATTTTTAAAAAAATAAATTATTAATAATATTAACATTTATGTATTGATTTTTTTTAAATGCAGTAAGATTTTCATGTATTAAAAGTTTAGGTTTGAGTTTGAATTTGAGGCTTCAATCGAGTTAAGTTTAAATATTTTTTTTATTCATTTCGAGTTGCTCACGAGCTTCAGTTCAAGTTTTCAAGTTCGAGTCGAGCTTGAAAAGTTTAAGCTCACGAGTTTTCGAGTAGGGTCGAGCTCCATTTCAGAGTTTTCGAGTCGAGTCGAGCTCAACAATACTCGAATTCAACTCGACTCGTTTACACCCTTACAAACTACAATAAAAAAAAACAGAGCAAATCTATATTTATATAAAAGAAAAAATCTGCTCAAATTTCTCCCTAATTTCTTAAATTATCTTTTTACAACAACAAAGGGATGAGATTGCAAATCTTTCTTACTCCCCCAACATAGCATTAATATACAGGCAAAAAGGCATCAATTGGGGGAAAAGTCAATGTAGCACTCGTATTATTTTATCGCAATGTAATTTTTTGACCAACGTTTTTCATTATTGACCATTATAATATTGGCGTGTTAGTTTACAATACTGACATGATAGTTCATGGTGTTGATATGTCAATCTATTTGTCATGTTTAAGTTACCAATTTAGTCAGTTTGCCATGTCATCCGACACGTTAATCTGCTACCCTGGATTGCCATATCAAAACCATCGACTGTCATGTCAACACTGTGGACTACCATATCAATACTATAACAGTCAATAACGAAAAAATATTAGTCAAAGGGTCACATTGTGTTTATTTTTTGAGTTGGAGGGTCATATTGAGAGAGAAAAAGTAATACGAGGGTCACATTGGTTATTTTTCAAAAGTACAAGGACTCTTGAGGTCTTTTTTTTCACAGCCGGTTTTACTATAAATCCAACCTCACACTATATCTATATTGCATTTTAACCCTTTTTAATTTCCTCTTTCAACTGATAAGACAAAGTGGAAATATTACCTAATCACCCCTACTATTTTCTCCAATTTTCAAATCATCCTCCGTTTGGAAAAAAAAATATAACAGGGAAAACCGGATCTTGAAGATTCAGGAGAGAATCTAAATGGAGACGAAGCGATTCAAACGGAGAGAGATATAGAGAGGAGGTGATTTTAACGACGGCTGTTTCCTGATCCCAAAACCTATATCCCGGTCAGGATTCGGATCTCAGAGATCGAGCCGGAGCAAACGCCTGAGATCCCTGGTAGCTGAATTGTCGATCGGAATTTTTTTCTTCCTTGAGAAAGTTGGTAAAGGAACCGAGCTCGGAGCTGGTGATACGACGAAAGCCGATCCGGCGTACACGTCGGATTTTTCGATCGCCGGAGACTTGTCTTCCCTCAAAATCGTAACCTTCTCTATTCCAACATTGTTGTTCCTCACCACCTTCAACTTATCGTTGGAGCTAGATCTCTTCGAGACGGCATGATCCGAACCGATCCGCTTCATCTGAACGGGCTTCTTGTTAAATCTACCGTTCCCATGATAACTAGGGCTAAATCCGCCGTTTCCGCAGCCTCGCCTAAAAATCGTAACCTTCTCTATCCCAACATTGTTCCTCACCACCTTCAGCTTGTCGTTGGAGCTAGATCTTTTCGAAACTGCTTGATCCGACCCGACCCGCTTCTTCTGAATGGGCTTCTTGTTAAATCTCCCGTGTCCGTGATAACCAGGGTTGAATCCACCGTTTCCGTATCTCCGGCAAGAACAAGCCATTGGAGAAACCCTGATCCGTTCGATCAAACAATCCCGAGGCCATAAAACTTCTGTCCCCATGTTAATTTACCCCCTCAAAAAATTCAAAAAAACTGAAATTTAGATCCGAGTAAATTTTCAAAATAAGGCCCTCAGAATAAGCGAAAATCAAAATCAAAACGAAATAGAAAAGGAAAGGAAAATCAAAGGAAGGTTGCTTGAATAAATTTTATCAAAAGAAACTCCCTCCCTTCATTTCTGGGCTCTGCTGCGATTGTAATTTGTTCAGAGGGAAATGTGAACGCTAAGGAAATTTATATATATATAAGGAAAAGGGCGGGAAAATAGGGGAGAATGTGTTTTGAGTGAATTTCTTTAATCTGTTTTTTTCCCTACTTGAAAAAAAGAAGAATTAATAGCTATAAAAAATATTAATAAAATTTATATCAATTATTAGTTAATTTAAATATAAAAAATAGGCATTATGCCAAAATATAGCCCCAAATGTTTAGTAGAAAGATCGTTTTGGTCCATATTCTTTTTTTAGCATTTTGACCTCTAACATTTTACTTCTGGGCAACTCTCTCTATAAATGAAAACGATTAGTAAACACATGATTAACGCTCTAAAATAAGAGTATTTTTTACCTAAAATGAAACGTTGAGAGCTAAAATGTCCCATAAAAAATAATAAGAGATGAAGTGATTAGTTTGTCAAATGTTAGGGCCCTTTTTGCATTAAAATGAAATGGTGGGGGCAAAAAATAGAATAGAGGGTAAAATGAACATTTTTATAAACGTTGGGGGCTAATTTTGATATTATACCTAAAAATAAATATTGTTGTTTTATCCCAATACACTTTATACTTTCAAAAATCAAAATCAAAATGATTTTTGCTTTCAGAAAATGATGCACCCAAAACACACCCATCAAATTCCCAGATTTTTAAGTTGTGCACATCCTAAAAGTAAATTAAATCACATAACACTGCTAAAGAATGAAATTACCATTCGTCCGCCGTCGATGAGAAGAGGGTAGTCACAGAGCCAGAGATAATTCCGGCAGCTCCGGATCTTCCTGGATATCGATAATTCCGGCTGCTCCGGAACTTACTCAATATCGATTTCGATAAAATGTACACTCCGATCGAATTCATCAATCACCAGCATCTGCACCAAATCAACAAAATCAAAGTCATTTTATATGACATAACTTACAACATAGAAAAGATAAGTGTCATGATACATTAAACACGACCGATATATACGTTACGCATGCTCCCGACTCGTCCCAGGGCTATAGGTCGATCTGGAACCGATTAGAACTCATACCTTGCTAAGAATTGGCTTCAAAGTCCGACATGGACCGCAAGTTGGTGAAGTGTATTATACACATATAAGCCTCGGGCTCTCGTGATACAACTTTCTCAAAGCATACTGAAATAGGGAGGGGGGGGGGAATACCTGATGAAACTCTACAAGAAGATCGTTTCTAACAAGATATCGTTCAACTGATAAAGCTGCAATGCATCCAGATCCAGCAGCAGTTACAGCTTGTCTCCACTCATGATCCTGTTAATGAAATAAACCAATGGAGTTGCATGACAAATTCGTTATAATACGGACTTTCTTCACAGATGTGAAGCCAGATGATAGTTTGAATTTAGCAGGCAACTCGAGCACCATCATGTTTCATATCAGGAAGAGAATGCAGTAAGCTTTCAAGAACTCATTAATGTTCTTTTTCATGCATGAAAACCATCAAAAGAAGATATGTAATCTTCCATGGTTATATGTATGTTTCTTTGAATCATCAGTAACATCATGTGTCGTACGGGCATACGTCGATAAACTTTCTTCCATGCTCCCTAGCAACGTTATTCCTCGCATCATGGCCATCAAACCGCGCAGTGATGATGCCGGAAACGATCGCTGTGTTTGGAAAGGGGATTTCATGCACAGGTTTGGCGTCAAGGATGCCTATCGCAAGCTGGTTAAAGGATCTTGGAATGCTCATTGTCCTATCTGGAACACGATCTGGACTTTACAAATTCCACAGCGTATTCGTACTTTCCTTTGGCTAGTTCTCAGGGACCGCATTGCTTCTAACTATGAACGTTATCGCCGTGGCCTAACCCAGAATCCAGCTTGTTCTCTTTGTGGATTTCATGAAGAAACCACTCTTCATGTCTTGCGTGATTGCCAAGCTGTGAAAACCATCTGGAGTCAATTGTTGTCTGTTGGACTCGTGCATTCCTTCTTCACCAACTCTCTCGATGATTGGATCCGAACAAATCTCGCTTGCCCTGCAAAACTTCCGGGTACGTCTTTGTGTTCGAACATTCTTTTCCCTACAATTCTCTGGCAAATATGGAAACGTAGGAACTGTTTTGTTTTCACCGACTCCTGCATCTCCATGGAAGATGTGCTCTATCTAAGCTCCTCATGGGCCTCCCATTTTGTCGAAGGTCATTCCACCACGCCAACACCCAAGGCTCGACAAGCTGTGCCAATTCAATGGAGGCCTCCTCCAAATTGGTGGTGCTGTGTTAGCATGGATGCTTCCGTCAACGTGGCACTGGCATTAAAATTACCACTCGGGAATAGGGATTAAAATAAAGTTCCGTTATCCGTACTGCACGAATCCAGAAAATATTTGTAAGCTTGGTCATGGCATTTTTTAATTATTTTTTAATCTTTATCTAACATTATCTTATGATGACATATCAACGTTATTTTTAACATTTTAAAGGCGGGTGTCCAAAACACAATACTAAAATATAACATTAAGTGTGATTTAAAACAAAAATTAATTAAAAATGAGTGATTAAATAAATAATTTACCCTTTTATTGAGCACGAGCACGGATCGGGCCATAGTCTAGGTAGGCCTAGGCCTAAATACACCCTGACCGTTATATAATGGGTTTGATGTTATCCGAAACCGATATTACCCTGATCTCGATCCTCCCTTGAAGAATGAGACCACCCTTCCAGATCTCGCCCCTATTCTCCAAAGCTGTCATTTCCAAACCCACATCGTGAAGGCATCCCTCGTTGAAGAACTCTCCCATCTACACCTCTAATGAGCCGTCTGTTCTAACATTTGGGAGCCGATCATCATCGTTGGGGGTAGGTACTTGGTATAATACAATATGCCTGTATAGTAGTTTATAACTTTTTTCTAAACTATTAGTTTTGGTCCATTTTATTATTTAAATTTTTATTTTTTTTTAAATTAGGTAAACGTTTTCCTTTTATTTTAATATCACAATGTCAAAAACATAACGCGCTTAGTACCTAAACTATTAGTTTTGGTCCGTTTTATTACCTAAACTTTCAATCTTTTCAAAACTCAACATTAAATTTTGAACAAAGATATTAAAATGAAACAAAAACTAAAATTTTTACTGAAAGGTACTAAAACGAAATAAAAATTAAAGTTTAAATATGATTTTTTTAAAAATAAAAAATTTAGATATTATAACGGATGGGTTAGATGCTAAATGTGTAATTTACTCTTTTTAAAATGGGGATTTGTTTGTGTTTAGGAAATTTCCTAACTATTTTGGGAGTAATGAATGTGTCATACTAACCATGGAACCAACTCACTGGCTTGCTTCATTTGTCAAAGCCCACTCTCACATGGAAAAAATTGTATCTAATATTTTCTGATTCGATTTAATTTAATAAACTAAAATTATTTTAATAAAATTATTTCTATTCACACCTCAAATTAATTACTTACATGCCAACTTTAAAACGCCATTCTTTGAAAGTTGGATTATAAATTGAAAAAATTACGTTTTAGTATCTAAACTATCAATTTTAGTATATTTTAATACCTAGATTTTTTTAAAAACAATTAAAATTATGTTTAACGTTCAGTTTTTGTTTCAAGTTAGTATATTACTAATAAAAAGGTGATGCAACATTTTTTATGGGTAAAATGCATCATTCATCACTCAATTATCTTCTCACTCCTATTTTAATCACTAAATTTATTTTTTTAATTTAATTACTTAGCTTTCAAATGACTCCTAAATTAATGACTCTAACTTTCAAATTTATTTTTTATTTTTATATTAATAGAATAATAATAAAAAATATTACTTCAAAAAATTATTAATAAAATAAACTAGAGTGATTAAAATATGAGCAATTTGAAAGTTGAGTAGTTAATTAAAATTTTTTAAACTTTAATAAAAAATAAGAGTGAGAAGATAATTGGGTGATGAATGATGTAATTTACCTATAATGCGGAGCAAAAATAAACTAAACAAAAACTAAATATTAAGTATAATTTAAAAAAAATAAATATTTAAATACTAAGACGGAGTAAAACTGATAGTTCAGGTATAAAACGTGAAATTTACCCTAATAAATTCAACATGTAACGTGGCGACGATCTGAAGCGAGTAGAGAACGTACATATAATCGCGAATGAGTAGAGAGAAAAGAAAAAAGACAAGACATTGGGGCAAGGCGGGGGTGGGGCGGGGCTGTCGTCCAGACAGAGCTTATGGTCATCTCCCAAGTCATCGACTCCGATCCGACTGATTTATAAATACTTCTTACAAATTATTTATCGGGGGTGCTTACGAGTTTACCCAAGAATTAGTAATGCAAGCAACTGAAGCTGGAGCTGGAGGTGGAGCTCTCAGCAATGGAGTTTCTAAGGGTTCTTCTCAGGTTCTCTTCTTTTCCTATATATATATATATATATATTATGGTGTGCTATTGATTTTGTTTGGGGTTTAGGAATTTGACGTCATGAATCGTAAGAAATATATGCATACTTGATCCATAAATTAGCTGAGATAGATACAAGGATATTGAGTTTAAGTACGCTATTAAGTAGGCATCTACCAAATTTCGAAATCTGAGAAACGAGTGGCGGATTCATAAATATTTTTGAGGGAGGGTATAAGATATATTAACAACACGGCAACACGAATTTCATGGTGGCACACGCTACAATCACTGAAATGGATAATTAACGGAATAAAAATTCAGATTCCAGTACGGGCGAGCGAGGATCCGGGCACTGCGAGAAACAATAACGAATGCTACATTCGATTCATACATGGTTTGTCATGCAATTTATGGTGTTGCATGAATTCTTGTGATGTTGAATGTTTTGTGTAGGCTTGGTAAAGAAATTGAATTGAACTTTCATGACATGCAGGCGAATTTTCCGTTGCTGGAACCCTTCGGTAACGAACCTTCTAAGCCCGGAACAAGTGGTTGGCCCTCGGATCTTTCGCTTCAAATACCTCCTAGACCGGTAGGATTTGGTAGCCGTAGTGGAAAGGGTTTACTTCCGTCCCGGGGTTCCGGCAAAGGTAGTTCTTCACCTGGAGGCTTCTTGCGTGGCTTGAGCTTCAAGAAAAAAGGCAACATAGCTGATGGCGAGTGTAGCTCTCTCCTCACTCCTGACAGCAATACCGGTCCCAAAAGTCCGAGTATGGCCAGTTTTCCATCCCCCTTTTTTTGGAAAAAGTGTACATCCCTGCCTGTCACACCAGCATCGAAATTGTCCCCTTCGGTTGGCATGCCGGATGCAGAAAGGATGTCTGGCGAACGGAATAAATCAAATGTACGTATCTTATAATACTAGCTATTTAGAGGGGGCTTGGAGAGCCATACGCATGTCCAAATATACATTGGACACGGATACTTCAAGCATTATGAAGAGCTGAAGCATCATGGTTTTTTTAAGATGCTAAATACATTCCCCTTCTGATAATTTAAAAGCATTTTGAGATGGTTACTGTAAACTTTATGCAGAAACAAGCAATGCCTAGGGTGGTTTCAAGGTCACTTTCAGTGCCCGGGCGAAATATCGTTATAGTAAGATCAGCATCTTTCGACACTCGTAAAGAGCATGTCCCTGCAGATAATAGTGATGGTATGTAGTGGTACATACAGCAATAACTAATCTTCTATTTTTTCATCCTTACTATTTGAGTTCCCTTTCAGTGTCATTACTTCAACTAGTGTTACTCGGACTTGATATAAGTGTGATATGAGTATGTCCGACACAGATATGTTCAATCTTTAAAGTTTTTCTATGTATTTTGAGGGTCCTTGGAGTATTATATCCTCATAACCACGTCCATAGATGTGTCGGACACAGTTCTTAATACAAATGTTTCAAGAAAAATGAAGATTCGAAGCATCAAAGATCGACAGAGAAACTAAACTGTCTGAAAATTTGAGCTGCTTATTCTAGGACACATGACCATGCAAATTGGTCTGAACTTGCAACTCGGTGTTTTTTAAACTTTTGGCTTCATTTATTGTCGGTTTATTCCTCTCGAGTTTTGAGGTTGGTTTGCTGTTCCTGCGGATGTGCAGATATTAATCCCGTTCCTGCAGAAAGCGATGATGAGGAGATTCCAGAAGAGGAAGCCGTGTGCCGTATCTGTTTTGATGAATGCGACGAGCAGAATACACTCAAAATGGAATGCAGCTGCAAAGGTGCCCTACAACTTGTGCACGAAGCATGTGCCATTAAATGGTTTAGTACGAGAGGAAGCAAAAACTGTGAGGTATGCGGACAAGAAGTGAGGAACTTACCAGTAACTTTGCTGCGGATGCCTACTACGGCTCGAAGGGGTAATAGACAGAACGTTAATCCACAGAGATTATCATCAGAAACCGTGAGGTAGTATCGGCTAGTTATCTTGCATCTAATTACAGTTGATTTTGCACTATGACACTTTGATAATGAACTCGAATCTAATGACATTCTCTTCAAATATTTACTTGAACTAGATCTTTTTTTAATCTCTCAAGCATTGTTCTCTTTCATTTAGAAATCTATGCCAAGCTCACTGCCGAGCATGCCTACAATATAGTGTTAATAATTATCTATTTTAGTCGGATTTGAGTATGTATGTCAGACACGAGTATAAGTCCAATATGGATATCTTCATTTTTTTGTGTCCGATATGGGTGTCCGACACGAGTACTTCAAACAAAATGAAGAGTTGGACTCGGAGCAACATAGATAATTATTCTACAGCAAAATACTTTCTTGAGAATTAGTTGTTTTCTCGCGTTTAACTTAAATACATGCTTCAATTATGCAGTGCCTGGCAGGATTTTGTGGTTCTCGTGTTAATTAGCTCGATATGCTATTTCTTCTTCCTTGAGCAGCTACTGGTATGCTTTCGTGCCTTTATCGGAAAATTGAACCGCAATTGATCTTGTTATTCTGCTGAACGTAATGTTGTCAAAGTCAATGAAATCGTCTAGTGGTTCAACTGTGTTCTTAAGCATGGAAGAGCAGAAAATGTCACTTATAAACTTATATATATTGCTCGGATTCGAGTACTCGATTTTTTGTTTAGTTTTCCCATGTTTTCAGGGTCTTTAGAGGGTTATATCGTTATACCCGTGTCCAAAAATTTATCCGACATGGGTGTTGAACACGGGTACTTGTATAAAAATGAGGTGTTGGAGCAACATATCCTTTGTATATTGAAAGTCAATTTCATGCCCCGTGATTTTGCAGATTCAGGAAATGAAGAGACAAGCAATTATGATTGCCGCGCCATTCGCATTTACCCTAGGCCTCTTAGCATCTATCTTTGCAGTCGTCTTAGGTATGACGGAACCTCAAACTTTACATTTCTTTTCGAGTTGTGGTTTAAGGTCGGCTTGTTTCGGCTTTGCGCATTTGCAGCAATCAAGGAGTATATATGGACGTATGCAGCTCTCGAATTTGCACTTGTCGCATTAGCCGTTCATCTATTGTATGGTGTGGTGAGCAATGATTTAAAAGCATTAAACTAACTTATTTTTGCAAGCAATTCGCATGAATGGTATCTATAGAAACGTTCTCTTTTAATGCTTCGTACCCGAATATGTACCGAAATGCATCCCGAAACCGGAACTCAACTTGTTCTCATAGACCTTTCCATGTCTTTCTGCAGGTCCATATGAATGCTGTTTTCGCTATACTGATCTCCGGGACGGTGAGTTTAGGGACAGCCATGGCACTCAATTCATTGTATATTTACTGTTTTGGTTGGCGAGTTCAGGTAGCTGGAAATTCAAGCCCAGTGTGATTCGATCTAATGAATGCAGTGCTGAATTTTTATGCTTATTGCCTAGTAACCGAGGCCTTAAATGTAGATATGCACGTTTGTTGTATGATAGATTTTACTGATAAATTTGGTCCTACAAACATCACACTACTCACTGGTTAATGCAATAGTTCTGATTAGTTATAATAGATCAGATGAATGCCAATATCATGAAACCTCTTTGTATAAAGCCGAAAACAGGAATGACGATGAGAAACATACACGAAACTTACGAGTCCAATCGATATGATCGATGAGATAGATATCCACACAAAATAAGATCTCCCCACAGACAAGACCAATAATAATATGGGAAAAAACTAAGACATCTTATGTGACATGAATCTAAGACATAAGCTAAATGCAAAGATTAACATGTTGCATACATTGTTCTTTTTTTGCCAGCGGAAATTTACTTGTGAATTCTCCAAGCCTGTTAACTAATGGTCGCGATCTGTTCTTTAACTGTGTTTTCTTCAACCAGATAATTGAAGCATTCGGTTTCGAGCCATATTTCTTGAGGGTAGAAACAGAGACCGACGGTGACAGACTGTTTATCTTCGAAGTCTTCTTCTTTTCCAATGACGACCCCTAAATCAAAAAATGATGCCTTCACTTGAAAGAGCATAAGGAAATGAACTAGTATTTAGGTAGCATCAGTCATTTGTACCATCAAAGCTACCCATTGGGTTTCCACGTTCTCTCCCTCCAATTCTCACCCCATACCTTGGCCTCTGCAACAGCACGTTCTCTATCGAGAACACGATTATGTGGAGTTTCCCTTGCAGTCACAGCGTTCACGGGACTGCCTCTATTAGATTCTTGCTGTTCCGAATCATCAGAATCCCATTTCCTCCCTGACCCCCCACCAGCTTGATTCCTACCCAACAAAGTACCGGTGCTCGATTCCCTAGCATGATGCCTCTTCCTGTAATCAGGTGAATTTCTATGAGTGGAAGGGGAACCCTGCCATCCACGACCATCGGGGCTGTCCAACCCATCTGCTATACTCCTATCGTCCTTGAGTCTCGGAGTTGATGAACCGACTCTGTTGCTTTGATTGCTGGTTGCATTCGGGTCATAGGTTTGTGAGGCTAAATACGTGAGGGCCGTCTCAACATCACCTATTAGAGGCCTTGTAGCAGCTTGTTCCTGCAAACACATTGCTGCAACTGCAAGAGCTTGGTATAATCCTCTCATTGGATAACGGCCTTGTAGTAGTGGGTCAGCCATTTTCGGAAACTTCCTACGATCTTTGAAAAGCGGTCGTGCCTAGAAACCCCCATTTTAACAACATAAAGAACAAAAAATTAACGTGATTTAAGTCGAAGAAGCAATAAATTTCAGAAGATACCCCTCATGTCTGAACTAAGGCTCGGTAGAACAGAGAAGACACTTACCCATGCAACGAGATTCTTCTCTCCAGGAGCACGCATATTATCAATGGCCTTGCGCCCTGTGATAAGCTCGAGAAAGACCACTCCGAAACTATAGACATCAGATTTTAGAGTGAGCTGGCCGGTCATTGCGTATTCTGGAGCACAGTAACCATAAGTGCCCATCACGCGAGTCGACACATGGGTTTTGTCACCAACAGGACCTAGTTTTGCAAGCCCAAAATCAGATAATTTGGGGTGATAGCCTTCGTCAAGAAGGATGTTCGATGATTTCAAGTCTCTGTATATAACGGGAGGATTTGCCTTATCATGCAAATATTCCAATCCCTTGGCTGCACCAGCTGCAATCTTCATTCTCGTATTCCAGTCCAGAGGTTCCTTACCCGGTGGAAGATCTGAAAAAAAAATTTAAAACAAGGCAATCATTGTGGTCCACTAAATTCCGATTCTTGAACTCTAGCCTTATATTTACCGAGTTCGAGATAAGCCACCAAAGATTCCATATCGACTGCTTCCTATTCATACTAAAGATTCTGATGTACCGATACATAAAAATAGTTTCATTATGTGTGCTACTAATGGTGTTGAGGAAACCGGTAACGGACCAATAGTTTATCCGAAAAAAATTATTCTCCCTGCATTATGATTCTTCAAATCTCAAAATCTTACTATCTCAAAATCTTACTATCTCAAAATCTCTTAATGGCCTCTTAAAAAACATCTATATAAGGAGTTGTTGGCATACCAAAGTTGACCCAAGCTGCTTAATCAATAAATAACTCGGTTATAACGTAACAATCCCGGTGCAATTTATTACGTGACTCGTTCTTTAAGTTGACGGAGAAATCAATGTAAGAGCTAGAGGAGTGCAAGTAACATGAAAACAGAAGGATGGCCAGCCTTACCGTGTAAATGATCCTCCAATGACCCAAAAGGCATAAATTCGTAGACAAGGAGGCGTTGGTCCCCATCGGCACAATAACCAATCAGGTTGACGAGGTTCGAGTGGTGTAAGAGGCTAAGCATGAGAACTTCAACAAGAAATTCTCTATTCCCCTGAAGGCCATTTCTATCAAGCTGTTTGACGGCAACTACCTGCACAGGAACATATTTAACTATCATACAAAGCAAGAAGCTTAAGTGCAATCCCATAATATAAGGAAACGTTTAGAACACACAGAAACCGATATTTGTTTCAAGACTGTAACAGACCTGTCCCGTACTATCCAAACGCCCTTTGTAAACACGTCCAAAACCACCTTCTCCCAACAAACATTCCTGCCTAAAGTTTTTTGTGGCAGCAGCAAGCTCTCGAAACGTAAATGTTTGTGCTGCAATATTTTCTGTCGATTCGTTTTTCAACACTGCAGGTTCCTTTTTGGAATCAGAACCACTCCGAGATTTTGATTTGTCTGTTCAAATAAGTGAATCAGAAACACCGGACAAGATGAACGAAGAAAGACCGCATAAATGCTACTACAAAACTTCAGAATTGTGCACTGCAGTACACTTCTTCAATAGATTCGAATACTCAAACTCGTCTCTCTTGCACCCAAAATTAACCACAGGAAAAATTTATGACTTCAACACTGATTTCGACACTCAAAGTGAGACGAGAAACGTCCCAAGGCGAAGCTATACGCCCTTTACTCAACTACATTCTTACATCATTTGTGGGAACATTCCTCTTCTAACTTAAATGCATTTACTAGCTTAACAATTATGGAATAACAAGAACTCTACGAAAATCGAGTATCAGAAACTAAGAGCAGATCTCTAAACTATTGTAAAATTCAAACTAGTACAACAAATTCATAATCCATATAATTCAAGCAAATACCCCAAAACAACCATAAGTTCATCAGATCGAACTAACAACAAATTCAAACAGCTGATCAAAAACCAATAATATAAAACAACAGAAGTGAAATTGGGCTAAAAGAATGAAATTAGTTTACCTAAACTAACTCTATTAACATGAAGGGACTGTCCAACAGAGCCATCTTTAGCTGAATCCTTCTTCCCCAGTTCTTTAATGGAGCCCCCCGCATTAGTCTCTTCCTTGTTTGATGATCCAAAACAAGGAAAACACCCACCACCACCCATAACCGAAATCCAAGAAAGAAACCCAGAATTAAAAAAACACACAATTCTTCAAGAATTACTCCAAATCATCCTCACTTTCACCCTTTTTTTCTCAGAAAACCACGAAATTTCCCTTTAAGAAGAATCCAAACGCCCCTTAAAATCCTCTCCTTTTTTCAAGCTTCAGTTTCTATGATCTTGAGTGTCCGTTTAAGACAAAGATCGTGTCCGAAGTGACAGATCGACAAATGGAAGAAATAAGAAAAGCTTCTGTTGTGTAAGCCTGTAAGGACTACGAAGAAGAGACGTTAAAGAAAAGAAAAGAAAAGGAATATATTTATCCACTAATTAATTATCCGAGGATAAAAGTACGATAACTACGATAAACTACTTATTTAATACTTAAGCTATTAGTTTTGATCTATTTTAATATTTAATCTTTCAACTTTTCAAAATCACACCTAACATTTAGTTTCTATTTTATCTCGGTACCTGTCATTAAAAACTTAACGCTTTCAGTATCTAAACTATTAATTTTGACCAATTTTAATACTTAAACTTTCATTTTTTTTCAAAATTAATATTAAATTTTGAACGTAATACAAAAATGAAACAAAAACTAAAGTTTTTAATATCATAGTACTAAAATAAAACAAAAAATAAAACTTTAGATATAATTTAAAAAAATAAAAGTTTAGTACTGAAATAGATCAAAAATAATAGTTTATGTATTAAACGTATAATTTACTCAGATAATTAACTATCCAATAATAATTTAACACTATGATCATATTTATAGTATATTTTCTATAAAAAAAAAACATGTCAAGAGGAAAGAAAATGTGTTAGTTATTGGTTGATTTATTTATTAAGGAGTGATATTTTGTGAAATAATATGTGTTTACCGTATACAATTCTTTTATAATTTCATCTATAATTATTTGTTAATATAGTTTTTAATATTTTATATTTATAAATAAATAATAATACACTATGATTTAATTATTAAGATGTAATTTAATTAATTTTAGGATAAAGTACGCATTTAATATCTAAATTATCAATTTTGATATGTTTTAATATTTAAACTTTTAATTTTTTTTTTTCAAAATCATACCTAAAATTTAATTTTTACTTCATTTTAATACCCCATTCAAAATTTAACGTTAAGTTAAAAAAAATAAAAGTTAAGGTATTAAAACGAACCAAAATTGATAATCTAGGTACTAAACGCATTAAGTTTTTAACGACATGATACTAATATTAAACAAAAACTAGACGTCATGTATGATTTTGAAAAAAAAAATATAAATTTCAAAACGGACCAAAACTAATAATTTGTGCACTAATTACATAGTTTACCCTTAATTTTAAAATTAAAGGAAACCTAAAAATATTTAAATAAAAAATTATTACATTAAATTTATCTATTTTCAAAATTAAACGAAACTAAAAGCCAATTGTTCACAAAAAAATAACTAGAATCTACTTCACCTAATTTCAAAATTAAAACTTATAAAAAATGATTGAATTAAAAAAATTACAATACTTATCTAATTTCAAAATTAGGACTAAAATAATTAAATTCAAAATTTTGTGAAATTATAACATAAACCCTAATGAACATTCATTACAGTAAAAAAAACTAATTCACATATATTGGTATGTATCATAACTAAATGATGTACCCAACAATGTCGAGCATTTCCATTTTCACAACGTGATTGTGTATCTAAGCCCATCAATATGCATGTATTAACCCTTCTTCACAACAATCCCAGATAAAATGTCGGGGAACAAGAAGGCATTCAAGTTCCTTTCTAGGTAGAGTCCGAAACTCGTCCAGATATCCCGATATCGAACCTAAGAGTCTAAGAACGGTGTAGGTGAACGCGCGGTTGCTGTCCAGGGAAGAATGCTATGGGTCCTATGTGTTTGCGTCGAGGGAAGAATGCTATGGGTCCTATGTGTTTGTTTTCGCCATAAGCAAAAGCAATGGACTCGGAAAACCGGATGGTTTGACTCGGTTCTCCCCTATGCTATGGTTTATTCAGCAGCATGGTGTATAGGGTTTCATTGAGGCTTTTATGGGTTGGAGAACATAGATAGATAATGGTGGAACCATGATGATAAAGAAAGGAAGCCTCCTGTTTCTGAAGACCTTCAAAAAAATATATATAATGTTTTGGTTCATGACCTCGATCGAGAAAGCCGGATTGAGGTGGTTGCTCCTCTCTTAACTGGAAGTGGGAGGTTCACTCTCTTCGTTGCTGTCACTGCCAGTAGAAGGGGCAGAACTCCAACTAGACTGTCGTGTGCTTGACTGAAGATCAGGTGCACCTTTGGAGGAAACCGAGGTGACCGGTTCACTGGAAGAGCTCACCAACGATGACATTATGGCTGCAGCAGGGTCCTCGCTATGCCCTGAATGAACTTTGGGTCGTGAATCCAACGACAAGGATGGAGGAGCTACAGAGCCTATTGTAGATCCAACAGGAGAGGGTGCAACAGGCATATCAGCAAGAGAAGACGCAGACGGACTGTAACTTAACATTCCCATAGGATGATCGAACCTGCAAGTGGCTCCAAACTTGCACACTCCACGCTGTGAATAGTGAGTGCAAGGTGGTGCACCCTGATAGAAAACACACACAGAATAAGTACACGAACGACAACTTACGGGGAAACAACTCAATATATTTCGCACGGCTAGTGTAATAAAAAAAAACCTAGAGTAAAACATAATCAGAAATTCATGTAACGAGATGATAGCATGACCGAATATTAACTAGCCCGGTTTTAAAAATGTCAGAAGAATGGCATCAAGAAAGAAAGGTAAAAATGTCAGAACATGAACTACGTTAACCATGAATAATCTCATAGAAAATCCAGTAAACACATTCCCATTCCCATCCGAAGCTGTAATTACACCGAGAAAGACAATTTTCTTTACTATATATAGATTATAATTGGAAGGCCGGACTTAGCTCATGCAGTAATCATACCCAGGAGGATAAAAATACTTCGTTCTTTGAAGTAAATTAATAAAAGTATCAAAAATGGGGAAAAAATCTTTATGTTCCTAAAATAAACACAATGAATCATGAAAGTAAGCTCAATTCAAGCTCGAACTCGATTTAAACTCGAATTGAACCTACAAAAATCTCATATTACATTTAAAAATACATTTTTAAAAATTTATAATTATCAATAATATATTTTTAATAATGTAATTTTAAAAAATCTAAAATTATAATATAACATTTTTTTCGAGTAGCTCGCGAGCTTTTCGAGTTAAGTAGTTCGTTTTAGCTCGTTAAGAATTCGAGTCGAGTTCGAGCTCAAGTCGAGTTCATTCAATTCGAGTATTGATCGAGCTTTGACCGAGTAGCTCGCGATCTGTCTCGTCTCATTTACAGTTATAGTTAGTGATCACATTAACATATTAGTATATTTAAATTTTAAAATATTTAAAGAACTAATCACTTTAAAAATATATTATTATTATTATTAGCCATTTCATCACTCAAGAAACAATCACTTCAAAAAAAAATATTATTATTAGTCATTTTATCATTAAAGAAACAATCACTTCAAAAAAAAATATAAATTTATTTTAATTTTCATTTCATCTCCCGTTGATTTTCATTTTCCTTTGGTTTATCAAGCTGCTTATTTTCATTTTCATTTCTGGCTTCTCCTTTGTTTCTAATGGTACTATAATGACAAAAAAAATTATTTTCTTCTTTAAAAGCTATGGGTATGCAAGAGGAAGAGACTCAGCAGATTCAAAACCCACCATTGATCGTTGATGGGCTGTATTGCGAAGATGAAGAGTTAGGAGAGTGTAGTTTTGAAGACAAGGCAAGTGAAAATTTAGGGAGAACAGTGAAAAACGAGACCTTTTCACCTTTGTTATTTATTGACCGCGACTTGTTCTGGGAAGATGATGAGTTGCTCTCTTTAATGTCTAAGGAGAAAGAAACTAACCATGGATACATTGATATTAACTCAGATGAGCCATTAGTTTTGGCTCGCAAAGAAGCTTTGGAGTGGATTTTCAAGGTCAAGGAACACTATGTGTTCAATGCTTTGACCATGGTTCTTGTTGTGAATTACTTTGATAGGTTCATTTCAAGCTTAAATTTTCAAAAAGACAAGCCATGGATGAGACAATTAGCTGCTTTGGCTTGTGTTTCTTTAGCTGCCAGGCATTGAACTCATAGTATTCCTTGACCTTGAAATTCCACTCCAAAGCTTCTTTGCGAGCCAAAATTAATGGCTCATCTGAGTTAACATCAATCCTTAGACATTAAAGAGAGCAACTCATCATCTTCCCATAACAAGTTGCGGTCAATAAAGAACAAAGGTGAAAAGGTCTCGTTTTTCACTGTTCTCCCTAAATTTTCACTTGCGTTGTCTTCAAAACTACACTCTCCTAACTCTTCATCTTCGCAATATAGCCCATCAACGATCAATGGTGGGTTTTGAATCTGCTGAGCCTCTTCCTCTTGCATACCCATAGCTTTAAAGAAGAATATAAAATTTTCTGTCATTATAATATCATAAGAAACAAAGGTGAAGCCATGAATGGTGAAATGAAAAGGAAAATGAAAATAAACAGCTTGATAAACCAAAGAAAATTAAAATAAATTTATATTTTTTTTGAAGTGATTGTTTCTTTAATGATAAAATGACTAATAATAATAATATTTTTTTTGAAGTGATTGTTTCTTTAGTGATGAAATGACTAATAATAATAATATTTTTTTGAAGTGATGGTTTCTTTAGTAATGAAATGACTAATAATAATAATAATATATATTTTAAAGTGATTAGTTCTTTAATGATTTTAAATTTTAAATATAATAATATGTGATCACTAACTAGGACTGTAAATGAGACGAGACAGATCGCGAGCTACTCGAGATCGACTCGGTTAAAGCTCGATCAACACTCGAATCGAATGAACTCGACTTGAGCTCGAACTCGACTCGAATTCTTGAAAAGCTAAAACAAACTACTTAATACTCGACTTAAAAAGCTCGTAAGCTACTCGAAAAAAATATTATATTATAATTTTAGATTTTTTAAAATTACATTATTAAAAATACATTATTGATAATTATAAATTTTTAAAAATATATTTTTAAATGTAATATAAGATTTTTGTAGGTTCAAATTCGAGTTTGAATCGAGTTCGAGCTTGAGTCTCGAGTTTCAATCGATCTCCTGAAATTTTTTTGAGTTCGAGCCTTTTCGAGTTCGAGTCGAGTTTCAATATTATATTTCGAGTTCGAGCTGAACTTGATATTTTTAGCTCACGAGTTTTCGAGTCGAGCCGAGCCTAATTTTAAACTTTTCGAGTTCGATTGGACAGGTTTTGCTGAACATTAATTTCTCTTTTGCATTTTCGGATATCACCCAACATTTACTTCCAAAGTCTATTTCTGATCATAATGCAATTTTACTTGAGAGTGGGGGAGCTAATTGGGGGAAGAAACCTTTCAGGCAGTTCAATTATTTAATGAATGAGGATGGGTTTGATGAGCAGGTTGTAGAGGCTATTAAAGAATGCAAGAAAGTTCAGAGAAGATCGGGTATTCTGAGTATCATCAGAAGCTCCAAATCAACTATCAAAAAATGGTCTGGAAGGAGAGATCAGTTTCCAGGTGCTGTAATTTCTGCTTTAGAAGTGAAGATTCATCTATTAGAAAGTGATTTACAGAAACAGCAGGCTGTGAGGGGCACTGACAGTGTAGCAGAATTGTGTTCCTTGAAAAATGAATTGTGGAGATTATACAGGATTGATGAACAAGTTTGGTTTAAAAAATCAAGAATGAATTGGATTAAAGATAAAGATCGAAATACAAAAAAATTTCATACTTGTGCCACCATCAGGAGGAGGATGAATTATTTAAACGCTCTTAAGGTCAAAGATGAAATCTTTTATGATCCGATTCTCATCAAGGCAAGTTTCCGATATCATTTTTTTTGAAACTTTTAACTTTCGGTCAACTTTAGAAGTGGATGATATCAAGCTGAATTTTTCAAGAATCTCCTTGGAGCAGAGCCTTAGCTTAGAAAAGATGTTTACGGAAGAGGAAGTTTGAGAGGATCTAAACTCGTGTGCTAGTAACAAAGCTACAGGGCCTGATGGGTTGAATATGGGGTTTTTCAAAAGGTTTTGGTCCTCTTTGAAAGATCATATTCTGAAATTTTTTCATAACTTTTATTTGGGAAAAGATTGGAGCATGGTATTAATCAATCATTCATCACTCTCATCCCGAAGGGTTCTAACATTGGCGGCTTAGATGATTTTAGACCAATCAGTTTAGTAGGAGGGATGTATAAGATCCTATCGAAGTGTCTTTCGAGAAGACTGAGAAGTTGTATGAATGATGTTATTAGTGCTTCGCAATTTGCTTTTATTCCTGGTCGACAAATCTTGGATTGTTCTTTTATTGCCAATGAAGGAATTGACATTTTGAGGAAGAAAGAATTAAAGGACTGCGTGTTTAAGATTGATTTCAGGAAGGGTTATGATAAAGTGGATTGGGATATTCTCTTTAAAGTGATGGTCAAAATGGGTTTTGGAATTAAATGGTGCAGCTGGATTAGAAAATGTGTTACATCCGCCTCGGTGTCAATTTTGGTTAATGGTGAGCCAACAAAGGAATTTCCAATGGCAAGAGGTCTTAGACAGGGTTGCTCCCTTTCCCCACTGTTGTTTAACTTTATAGGAGAGCTCCTCAATCTATTGCTTCTCAAGACGGTTTCTTCGGGTCTGTTTTGTGGTATGGTGTTAGGGAAAGATGGGGGTTCTTTTATGCTATCTCATTTGCAATTTGCAGATGACCTCATTATTTTTTGTAATGCATTCAAGACGCAAATTTTAAATGTTAAAAGAGTTTTACGAGTTTTTGAAGTTATGTCCGGTCTTCAACTTAATCTCAGTAAAAGCAAATTATTTGGCATCAACATTAATGAGGAAGAGGTCAAGGAGTGGGTGGGTGTCATTAGCTGTACAGTTGGTCGTTTCCCTTCTGATTATTTAGGGTTGCCGCTTGGTGCCAACAGGAACTCCGCTGGTTTGTGGGATCCGATTGTTCAGAAATTTTATAAGAAGCTGGCGAGTTGGAAGGCAAAAACCCTTTCTTTGGCAGGGAGATTGGTTTTATTAAAGTCGGTATTGAGTTCGTTACCTACATACTTTTTGTCTATGTTTAATATTCCTCCAACAATCAATTCAAAGCTGAACTCAATCATGGCCAATTGTTTATGGGGAGGAGGGGCAGAGTTCAAGAAGATTCACTGGGTCAACTGGAAGACAGTGTGTAAAGCAAGAAGTTGTGGTGGTCTGGATGTGTTGAATCTTAATTTTATGAATAGAGCTTTATTAGGGAAATGGTCTTGCAAATTTGCTATGATAGGGAATCTTTTTGGAAGAAGATGATTTGTTCCAAATATAATATGAACACTAATCTGTTATTTTCAACAGCTAATATCCAACAAATGCTTCTTGGCTTTGGAAATCGGTGGTCAATAACCATTTTAAAGAAGATCAGTTTGGTGCTAAGTTTCGAAGCTTGTTTCAAGTCAAAGTGGGTATTGGGGAGAGTATCCATTTCTGGTTTGATAGTTGGGCATCATATTCTCCTTTGAAGGTTGTTTTCCCGAGATTATTTGCTCTTTCTTTGAATAAGTATGGGGTCTTAATTGAGTATGGTGAGTTTCGATCAGCAGGGTGGTCTTGGCATGTTCAGCTGAGGAGAAATCTGTGTGATTGGGAGCTGGATCAATTTTCAGATTTATTGGCTGTCATTCATAAATTTAGTTTCTCCCAAGAGTCTAGAGATGGTCTGATATGGAGAGGGAATGGGGAAGGTATTTTTTCCGTCAACTCTTGTATGAAGCTTTGTTATCATGTTTCGGCTGACGAGAATTTTTGGATGAAATTTATTTGGAGGGGGTTGGTGCCTCCAAGAGTGGAAACTTTTATGTGGCAGGTGGAGCATCAAAAATTGGCAGTAAAGTTTGAATTACAAAAACGAGGGGTTTTAGGGATTGTTGACATTTCATGCCCTTTTTGTAAAAGAGACATCAAATTTGCCTCCCATTTATTTTTCTCCTGTATGGTGGCGTGGTCCCTTTGGAATAAGTTTATGAATTTTTGGAAATTAAGTTCGGTTCTTCATGATAATGCTCAAAGCTTTTTACTAGCTTGGAATAATTTTGTGCCTTATTCTTCTATTTGGTCCTTTATTCCGGGAGTTGTTCTTTGGATTATTTGGAAATTTAGAAATGCCATTGTTTTTAAAGGAAGGAGCTTAGATCAGATTGAGCTATTTTTCATGGCTAGATTTAGGCTAGCTTCTTGATTCTTAGCTAAGTTCAAGGAAGTTGCTATTACTAAGGACTCTCTCATTAGTGATCCCTCTATTAGAGATTTATGCTCTTCCTCTAGGAATTCGATTCATAAAATCGTGCCTTGGGTTCCTCCTCCAAAAGGTTTTCTAAAATTGAATGTGGATGCAGCTATTTGTGGAGATTGGCAAAAGAGTGGTATAGGTGGTTTAATAAGAAATGAGGTCGGTGAGATGAAGGGTTCTTTCCAAGAGGCTGTGGGTCCAGGTCCTATTTTGATGAAGCTTTTAGCCATTAAGAGGGGTTTAATTTTCTTTGTTTCTATTCTTCAGAGGTTCAAGAATCGATGGATTGTTGAATCTGATAGTAAACTAGCAGTGGATTGGGTAAAGAATTTAGATAGATGTCCTGGTGTTTATCTATATCTAGTGAAGGATATTGCTGTCACGTTAAGAGAATTGGAGGGTGTTATCAGATGGGTTGATAGATCAGCTAATATAGTGGTTGATAACCTAGCTAAGGCAGGAATTGGTTAGTTTTGTTGTTGAGTTTAGGATGTTTTGTTTGAGTGTTTCGGGTTGTTCTTTGTAAGGGTCTTGGCTGTTTTAAACATTATGTAAATTTTCAGTTATTAATGAATTTTGAGGCACTCTTTTCCTCCTTCCGCTGATAAAGGAACACTTCCTTCAATCATGAAGGAGGTTTTTAACGAGGCCTCCACTTCTTATAAAAAAAATCACATAAAAGTATAAACACGCAAACAATGAAGACTGTCACATGCATCTATGAAACAACAACAGAAATTCGGTAATTTCACAACTGAAATGTTATAACAATCTATTGAAGTGCACACCAAGGATACTTCCAAGCATCAGTTACGGGGTCCAAACAAGCACAAAAATTTGCGCTACAAGAGCTTTCACAAATTGCAAATTAGTTTTTGAACCATGAAACAAGTTCATTGCTCAATCTGCCACACATAATTGAAACAGGCTTTTCAAGAAAAAAAGTTCAAGTTAAAGACTCCAAAGACGATGTTTTCCATTCTAGGCACCCAAAGCATTAACAAGTTGAGTAGAAAAAAATAGGACTGTGTTCCATGAAGGGCTTCTGGGAATGAGGCTTACTTTCTAAAACTTACAACGTACAAGGCAAGCTTCTAGTTATGTGAATAGGCAAAGACATCAGTTTTGACCAGATCTTATATGCTTCTTATTCAAAAATGTATGTCTGGTTTCCAGAGGTATGCATTGTCACCTTTCCAAAGTGCTTTCGGTTTTCTACAGAAAAAGAAACCCTGACCACGGGAAAACTCTTATACGTGTTACTATGTCTAGTTGCAAGTTGGAACACGCAAAAGGAATGCCAATAGATGCCAAACAGAACAGAAACGTAACCAATTGTTGCAAAAGCAATTGAGCAAAGAAAACTTAGATTCATGATGGGCGGTAGCATGTAACTATGTATCAAACAAACATTATAAAATTTAAATCCAATCTTGTATGAAATGCTTACGGGACGAAGCGGAAGACCAAGAGGGCTGAGGATGACATCTTTTTTTGGTGCAAACACTTCTGGTGGATGATGATATCTACAGGAGGATCCATATTTACAACGACCAGTTTTCATATAATACTGGCATTCTGGTTGGCCAGGTCTCTCAGGAAAAGACTCATCCTCCTGAATACCATTTGGAGGCCCAAAACTGGATGGCACAAATTGATAAGATCCAGTATAGGCATGTGCTGAAGGAGATAACGGTGTTTCCCAAAAAGTTGAGCTTGATCGAGCAGGGAGGTGAGTACCAGGATTGACAGGTACCTGCACCAAGCGTATTAACAACCACAAACATAAAAATTTAATAGTATCGTCACTGTTGAGGGAACTGAATAAAAACCTACCGGATATGGATTCCAACTTGGAACACCTGGGGACAGCAGCAAAAGACCATATGGGCCTTGCACATACGAGCCTGGCATCATGGGAGGCCTCACCATTACAGCTCCATATTGTTGAGAGGAAGGACCAGATGGTGACTGCACCATGGAAAACACAGTTGGAGCAGGAACTGGTGTAGGCACAGGTACAACTTGTGGAGCTGGAGATGGTGCTGGAACCTGCATAGCCGGCGGTGCGGAATGATGGAATTTACATGTTACACCAAATTTACACTGCCCCGTCTTCACATAGTAAGAGCACTCCTTTTCACCCTGTTCTACAGATTGGTCAATTATCACGCAAGATCTAACAGTACGAATCTAAAGTTCATGTTAATGAAGTGATACAAACCGAGCGTAATGGATATCCAAAATAATTCAGTGGCACAGAGCTGCCTCCCAGCGCGGGATGATGATATTTACAGGAAGCACCAAATTTGCATGCCCCAGTCCTCATAAAATACTGCAAATCAATAAAAACGAAACTGTATACAGCATAAAAAAAGAAACTTATAATTTTTTCCTAAATAGTAAAAATAAGACCAAAACTCTATCCTTAATTAACTCACCCTTTTTCTCCAAGAATTATGCAACGCACATTATCGAAATTGTACTATTTCAGCATACATATCTCGAATTTGTCGAACATTTAAGAAACAAACTAAACAAAAATTACCTGACAAACTGGCTGGCCTGCTCTCTCCGGATACTCTCCAGCACCGCCACTTCCAGCTCCCATAACCTAAGGCAATCATCATCATCACATTTATTTCACCAAACAAAGCATAGGCTACCAAAATATCATTTGCCAATTACACTATTGCAGTCGCAGAAAGAAATCTTAGTAGCATTTTAACCCCATAATTCAAAACCCCTTCACTCCAAAGACCATGATCAAACAAAAACAACCACAAACCAAAATTCAGATAAAAGAACATAGAATAATTCGATCAAATCAACTGTATTACCCCAACACGATCACGCGGATGATTGAACCGACACTTAGAACCATAGCCACAAAACCCAGTCCTCAAATAGTAAATACAATCAGCTTCGTCGAGTCTCTCCGGGTATGATTCCGACCCGCCCTCTAATCCCAACTGCCGAATCGGCTCTACATCTCAAACGAAAACACCATATCAAATCGCACATTACAAATAAACAAACAAACAAACAAATCCAAAAACGAAAATTTTACAAGTACTCTTTACCTTCGAGCCCCGTTCTGGGTCCCGGAGCAGTCCATTCCGGATGTGGATCGGACTCTGGGTCCCGCTCCATCAAACGTACGAACAAAAACCCCAATCCCCAAATAGCCTAAACTGTAATTCGATCAAATGGCTATGCATGTCTTATTTTCTATATAGAAAACGAAAAAAAAATACAGCGAAAAAACCCCCAAAAAAATGAGAGATAAAACCAGAAACTTCCTATATCTCTCTTCTCTTCTTTCTTCCACAAACAAGAGAAAAACACTGCTTCCTCTGCTGTTTTATTGGAGCTTTGTTTGTTTAGTTTGGTGCTAGTCCAAATTTTCTAACTCTCTCTCTCAGCTTCAGAATTTCTGAGAAAATTTCCGTTTGTTTGCTCTCTCTCTCTCCTTCTCCTTCCTGGGTATTTTTTTTAATGGGTCGGTGGTTTATATACGCGCCAAGTAGAAGGGGAGAAGGTAATATGATAAAATTAAGGGTAAATTACACTAATGGTCATTGATCTTTGAATAAATTTTCGATTTTACGTTAAAATTTTAAAAATAAATTAATTATTAATGTTATCATTTATAACAAAATAACAACTCTATCATCATTCTATTAAATTGACGATATAAAAACATTAATAAAAATAATAATCTTTAATTAAACGTTTAAATTACTGTTAAAACATTAAATAAACAATCAAATAATAATTTCTACCTAATTTAATATTTTTTTTTATTTTGATACATACTATTAGATTGACCATTAATAAATGATTAAAATATATCAGATGTCTATGTACTTTTTAAAAAAAATTAATGTAACTTTTATATTATTTTTTCTCTCAATGTGATCTTTCAACTCAGAAAATAAACCTAATGTAGCTCTATCCAATATGGTTTTTTGACCAACGTTTTCTATAGTTAATCATTACGATACTTACATGACAGCTCATGATGATGACGTGACAATCCAGTGTTAATAGAGAGTTCATCTACCATTTGAGTTAGCAATTTAACTCATCTATCATGTTATCCATCACGTCGTAAATTATCACATCAACATCGTAGACCACCACATCAACATCATAAATTACCACATCAACACCTTAATGGTTAACGACAAAAAACATTGATCAAAAGATAACATTAAATTTATTTTTTTGAGTTAAAAAACCACATTAATAGAACAATAATACAAGAACCACATTGATTTTTTTAAAGTACATAGACCTCTTCTTTTTTGCCTAAATAAAATTATGACAAGTGATATAATAATAATTTTTTTTATTTTAATCTTCAAATTTTATGTAATCTAATATGAAATAATCCAATGAATAGCACAGTTGGAGGACTAAACCGATAGTTTACCCAAGAATCTTACATAAATCACCTCTCAGCTTTCAGATTAATGATAAGCCATAAATCCTGGTTGCATTCTCAAAGGCCATTCCTAATATTCAACTTACAAGCAGAATGAAGCTTTTAAAGCGTCACATTTCTCCCCTTTTTGGTGGGAACAAAACAAACCAGCATCAAACTGAAGTCATGAAATGTGCTTTTTGCAGTAACATGAAACCGGATACTAGGTGGTCCGCTGCTGCTGCTGCGCCAGACCGTATTTTGGGATCGATAACAAATTTTCCCCGGTTGGTTTCAGAATTTTACAACTTGACCAAACCTGGCTCTTACTGTACAAGCATCTCAGGTCCTGCTGCTCATCAGGTAGCATCTTATTATGCTTACATGCCACATTCACTGCAAACCAGCCTCGTCTAGCAGTTTCGAGCTATTTGCAGCACCAAAATGGTCACCGCTTCATCAGGATAATTACTATTTCCCGCATCACGCCAAGTACCTGAACATATTGGGGTTATCTTTGTCTCTCTCGAGATAGTCTCGAGTAATTAGGTCCTCGATTCGCTTCTTGATCGCCTTGAAATCGGGCTGCAATTGTCGAAAGTTTTTTATCAGCATAACCACGGAAAGCACGAAAGTAACAGCAGACACCTGTGCACATGGTGTACAATAGGAAAAGAGTTGATACAAACCTTGAACATGCGGCCTAGCTGCTCGACACACTCCATAACCAACTGCTGGTGACCTAGAACTTTCCGACTCTTCATGATGCGCACAATCGAGGCATCAATGGCATACCGTCTATCTTTGTCAACATCTTCAATTACTTTTTTCTTCTCATCCACAGGGGGAAGAGGGATCTGATTGATAAGCAACGAAATGCAGTAGAAAATATTATTTATTCAAAAGGAGAGTAAATCGGAATGTTGGTAGGTTTATTTGTTAAAAAGTACCTTGATCCTCCTCATTTTGTCAGTAAACTTGGAGTTGAACTCGAAATGATCAGTGGGAGAGATGGTTTTTGTGCTTGGTTCTTTGTTCAGAATTTTATACTTAGCACATGACAACGAATGCAGAAGTCTGACAATGTCGTCATTGGTTAAGTTCAACTGTGTCATGATCTCCAAATAGCTCAGTCTATCAGAGGTATTGAACAGCAGTAAGGCCGACGCCTAAAGACCATGAAGACTTGGTATCAGTAAAAATGATTCTTCAACTCCATTTGGCTATTCTAGAATAAAGAGGGAAAAAAATAAAAAATAAGACTAAATAACCTTTTCGGTCATATTACCTGATACGTCGTGACAATCAACTCCATCGTTTTTGGTTCAAACTTCCCAATAAGGTTACAAGTACCCAATGAATATATCCAAGTAAGTTTCCTGTGTTTGGTTTTTATCTGATAGAAGTCCCTGAAAACTTCAACACACTTAATCTAAAGAGGTTTTGGGGGGAAAGATGGAAGAGAGAAGAAAGAAACTCAAAGTTAGTGACTTTCGGTAAACTTGCAAGTAGCAAAACGAAAAATGAAATGTTTGCGATATTTTTGTGCATACTGCATACCATCTCAGCAGGAAGGTTGAGATCAAAAGACTTGTAACTTGGCCAGAAGCCAGTAGTCAAAACAGTTACGGTCAAATCGATCCCCGGATTTGCATTTGGATTATTGTTCAAGTACTCCTCAAAATTTGTCTGGTTTTCCCTAGCCAATGTCAAGTCTGTCACCTAAAGAACAGAGAAGCATTTCAAAAATTATCTATTTGAAGCGTTAAGAAAATCTGGAAATGAGAATAGAAGGCGGCTTTCAATGCACAAATCTTAATAATGGAAACCGACCATTCCCTCCATCTTGGAGGTGAACTGGCCACCACACTGATGTTTCAGCTTTGTCAATATACTTCTCTCGTGGTCATCATTAGCACTCTTGTCAAAAAGAAGCCTCCGAGCAAGCTTTTTCCTACCAATAATAATTCACAAAAACAAAATTAGCTGAATAATCTCAAGCCAAATGAATTCTATATTCGATTAAACCACATGTACCTGTAGAATTCCGCAAACAAGTCCTTGTCACTAATATAAGCAAGTAGCTTCACTACCTGAAAAGTTCGCAACAAGATTATGTAGTGTAAGGTGTAACAGGTCCTAAAATGTAGATTGAGCACAGGAATGGGCGCAAAAAACCTTTTCAAGTGTTTCTTCGATTGCTTCGTCGCTCAACTTCTCACTTCCCCCTTTCTTGAGAATATTATCACAAAAGGTGGCAAGTAGCTCTGAACTTGAGCTTCCGGCAACACCCTTGTTGCAAAAAACTTCAAAAGCCTCTTTGAGAGCCTACGGAAAATAGACAGTACTGAGAACATAAAACAAAACATATGACCTACCTTGAAACTTAATCTTCAAAACGCTATCTATTGCAGACCTTATGAAAGAGCGTATGATTTTGAAAACAATCATTCACATATGCTAGGTATTTGTCATGCAGCTCAATCACTTTCCTCACAAAAACCTGAAAGCCACAATCAAAATCAATTTCCAAACTTCGAAACAGTAAAGTGGAGTCGTGAAGAACAAGTGAATATTTTACCTGCTCTTGCAGTCCAACCACATCCCTTTTATCTGACTATTTAAGGTAGAAAACATTTTGGTATGAGTAGATATAAACTTAAATGATATCAAATATAAAATCTACTCTTTTTTAAAAAAATGGAACTTTAAAAGATGATGCAAGAAAGATACGAACCTTTTTGGTGCTTGTAGCATCCTCGGCCTGTTTGACCAATGATGTGCCTTCAGCAGTAACATGCTGAAGCAGGAAACGAGACCATAATATTAAAAAGGAAAAAGAATGGAAATAATATGTAAAAGATTATGGAACGATAAACGAAAAACCCGAGTGAAAGTAATTCAAGGTATGATATATCTGAGATGACCGTCAACTTAAGTCATCAATAAAGAATAGTAATAAATTAAACAGTGGGCAAGCTATGAAATAGTTGACCTGTTTGAAGATGCTTGACACGGGATCTAACCCACGAGGAATTTTCGAAAAGAGTCTAAACATTCTTGACAAATCCTCCACCTAAAAGTTAAAGAGAGATGAGCAATGGTTGACCAGCCAATATATCGAGCAACAAAACAAATAACTTATGAATGCAGCAAGTACCTTGTCATCCCTGAGCAATGCATGGCATCCAGAGTGCTCTTTATCAAGCAGTCGGTTTGCCCAGACAGAGAGCAATTCATGTTGAACTTTCTATAAAAGATAAAGAACGCAATAAGAAACAACATTTCAGAAAAATATTTGGAACAACCTTCGAAGTGCATGATTATTTCCAAGATGAAAGGGTGGATTTATATAGCAAGATCAAATACCAACCTCAAGTAGTTTTGGCTCACTACTAGAATGCAAGTAATTGGAGACCCTATCTTTCTCTCGTTTTAAACACTCCTCGGCCTAAAAAGAGAAGGCAAGATGAAATCATTAGACACTACCTAAGTGGACAAATTAAAAGAAAAAATATTCATATATATAATGCATACTTTTAACATATAATCTGGACAAGAATCATCTACAATCCAATTTGCAGCTTTCCGTGAATAATAGGCAGCTGTATCTTTGAGCATAGTGGCCACAAAGTCATTCTCATAGAAATCCATTTGCCCCATTCCAATTTCAACGAATATATCTAAAACATTCTTCAACAAAGCCCGATCGATCTGCTCACCCTCACGTTCTTGATCAATCTGATTCAAAATTAGGAAGTTTATTACTATTATTTGGCCGAAAAAGAAAGGTGCACAATGTATGTGAAAGAGAACTGGAATTACCAGAGAAATTACCGCATCCCTCACTTTGGCATTTAACTCTTGGTAGACCTGAAACCAGAGAAAATGCGCATATAAGGTGCCAGTAACATAAAAGGAAGTATAGAGATATCATAGCAAATACATTCAATCTGCAGATACCAGTTCTTGGAAACATGTGAGTCCAACTTCATTAAGGGGAGGCAGTGACCTCCGAGCAATAAAGTAGCGATCAAGGTAATGGAAGAACCGTGAAAGCCACCTAACCATAACTTTATGGTTAGTCCACCTTTTCACCAGCTCTCTCAACATAAACTCATCATGCTTTTCACGTAAAGATGGGAGTACCTACAAAGGAAATATTTCATGAATCGAATCAATAAAGAATAAAAATTAGAAGAGATAGCACAATCAAAATGATGCTCAACAGGAACAACAGTATATATAAATGAAAATCTATTATAACTTTCAACATGACATGCATAGCTACAATGATTTCACTTCCATCAACAGCTTCTCTAAATCTAAAAACTACAACTAATGCAAATACGAAAAGCAAGTATATACTCTTTTTAGATCATTGAAATGAAGGTAACCAATTGGTCTGGCTTTAAGGGGGGTTTGCAGTCAGGAGGAGTAGTGAGGCACTTTCTAAAGTACTACGAAATGCATAAGAGATTATCGCTTCTAAACAAATGAGATAATGAGGCATTTGATTCCTCCGATGCAATATATATATATATAGGCTAGCTTATGTTTAATGTAACCAATATGCAAACCAGACTCTCCATTTTCCCTAAAGTACATATATGAGAGTATGATCCTCAAAATATATGAAAATACTTGAAAAAAATTATGCATACCCATTTCGGAAACATACCCATATCCAACACACATGCCTAAGTCGGGATAACAAAGCACATTATCACTAAGTTAATGATACCAAGTGAAACAACAGTCAACAAATATAACCATAAGGTACATTATCACTAAGTCCAAACATAATCTAATCAACTTATTAAGCAAAATAATAATAGCAAGCATTAGTTACTGATGATCTGATGTATTCTTCGAAAGATTCTCGATATTTTTCATACAACTGTTGGGAATAGTCGTGAGGAGGCTTTTGGGTACACATATTGTAAATTGTTCTACACAACAGGGGTCAAGGGCACCAACAAAACAGTCGCAACACACGAAAACAGTTATGTTCCCAATAATTCCCATGAAGGAAAAATAAACCAATACAACAAAACAACTACAAATAGGATACGTGTAAAGCATCATATAATCCTCTGAGCTAAACTGGGGCTCCGGCAAGCCTTCGAGAATGTTCTTTAGCTTTGTGACTCCTTTTTGCATAAATTCCCATCCTTGTTCGAGGTTGATCGTCTTCCTCTCGTTCATCGCCATCGAGCCACGCCACCTCCCTAATTATCAGAACCCTAACCTGAAACATCAAAAGATTCAAACAGCATACATAATCAGCTCACATTCTAGCTCAAAACACCGACATTTCGTGACCTTTAGCTCATTTAACAAAAACCCACAAGTTAAAAAAGGTTCATCCATAAAACAACTTAAAAATCTGGACTTTAAGCGCCACAGTTCTGCTACTTGAAACAATACCAACATTTTCTTAGCTACCACACAGGAAAATTAACATTTTTTTCTGAAACCCTTTCTAGAATTGAAGCCAATCGATCCAATCTAAGCTCAACTAAAAGAAAAATTCATCAAATTGAAATGGAAAAAAAATTCATGAGAAATCGAGAGATAATCAGGAGAGAAAGAGATCTGTAGATGCACTAAATAGTGTAAATAAATAGACAAATACTAACTAAAAAGACCTGGGAAACCAGAGAGAACAAAAAATCTGCTAAAGGGGACGAAGATTGACAGCCAACTGCCTACAGATCATTGAAGAAGGAAATGGATGGGTTTTTTGTCGCTAAAAGATCCTTTCGGGTTTTGGATCCGTTTTCCTTCGTTGTTATAGAGTTTCCGGTAAACTATGCATTTAGTATCTAAACTATTAATTTTAATCCGTTTCAGTACCTAAACTTTTGATAGTATCAACCTTTCAATACTGAATGTTTACATTCCTGCCATATATGATGCTCGAACTCAAGTCCTCAAGAAATATCAACAATTTCTTTATCACGGAGGTCACTTCGAGTAAGGGATGAAACTCATAATTAAATAATAAATATTTATAATATTTTAATCAAATTAACGTGCAATATATCGGGTAAGGGTGATTGTAAAAGAATAAAGGTAAATTACGTATTTAGTATCTAAACTATTAATTTTAATCTATTTTAATATCTAAACTTTATTTTTTTCAAAATATTGTCTAAACTTTAGTTTGTGTTTCATTTTAGCATCGAATCGTTGAAAATTTAATGGACAGGCTGATAGGGAATAGCTACGGTGGACGAACGATCAATGCGAACAGTGGATCATAAGAGAATGACGAGTTGACCAACATAATTCAGTTTCAGACTCATTGGACGATTGATGACGGAGATTGAAGGATAAATAAGTCGAAGAACCCATCGTTGATTTAGGGAGATGAGACATTTTACGGTGAAACGGAAGTCGAAGTCACGTTCAAAGGTTGAAAAGTTGTAGGTTAGCAAGTTGGGCTTCATTGACCAATGGATACGACAGACGACGAATATAGACTATGCAATTGATAAATCGTCTGTTAAATTTTTAACAAAACAACAAAATATTAAAATAAAACAAAATATAAACGTTATGTATGATTTTTAAAAAACTGAAATCTTAAATATTAAAATAAATTAAAACTTAAACTAATTCATATATATTTTTAAATGTAATAAGTAAAAAGTCAAAAGATGGTTAGTGGATGTCCATAAAGTAATTGAAAACACTTAAATTAAAGCCGGCTCGGTCACGTTAAAGTCAAGTGGCATAATCGAAAATATATCAAAACCCAGTGGCTTTGTTTATTAGCAATCACTTATAAACCTAAAACCTGCCTGCTTTCTTCATATCCACAACCCAGAAACATGCGACGCTCTACATTCTCGATTTCCCTCGCGGTTTGCGCGATCTTGGCCGTCCACGTGGCGGTTTCAGCCTCATCTCCGACACTCGATTTCGCCGGCGGAAACTTTCTCCCGATAAAATCCGAGTGCCGCGGATCCATCGCCGAGTGTCTGATGCAAGGTGGGGACGACTCGTCGGAGTTTGGCGAAGAGTTCGCCATGGTATCCGAGATCAGCAGACGCATTTTAGCGACGACTCGGTACATCAGCTACGGTGCGCTGAGGAGAAACACCGTGCCTTGCTCGCGACGAGGCGCATCGTACTACAACTGCCGGCCTGGAGCTCAGGCAAATCCCTACTCACGCGGCTGCAGTAGGATTACACGCTGTAGGCGGTAGATTTATTTATTTTAAATCCTTTTTTACAATACTAAAAGTAATAATATTGTTTGATTTTCAATTATGTGTGTTGTTGTAATGTTGTTTGGATGAATTGTTGTTCATATATATATATATATATATATATATATATATATTCCCCTTTTTTTTTTATTAAATTCGTATATAAAAATAAGTGACTGGTATAAATTTGAAGATTATTGGATGAAATTATATTATAGATTTAATTTAATTTTATATTTTATGTTGGAATTACTTTTTCATGCTTTAATTTTTTGGTTGCGAGATTTTAGATTAATTTTCATTATTTTAATATAATTATACAATGACCTCGAATTATAAGACATTATTTTGTTAAGTCTTTATCTATTAAAAGTTATAAAATAATTATCTGAGTATTTTTAAGTCATCTAATTATTAAAAGTTACAAAATGATCACATGATTATTCGTATATTTTAAACACGATTTTTTCGTTAAAAATATTAACAGATGTTTGAGTTAGATATTAACCTGTTCATCGTCATTTCTTTCAAATATTGACTCGGTAACATAATATAAACAGAGATTTGATCCATAAAATATAGCTCAAACAGTTCTAGAATCAGATTTTATTGTATTTCAATGAGTAAATTAATGTCTAATTCAAATAGTCACCAAATTTTTAACAAAAAATGACGAGTTTAAAATATATAAATAATAACGTAATTATGTTACAACTTTTAATAATCAATACTCAACAAAAACATCTTATTATCGTTAAATTATTTTTTTAATTTGCTATAATTAAGAGATCTAACAAAACATCATAGACATTTTTTATACTTTAACATATTTTTTGGTTTCTTTAAAACAAACAGGGTAAATTATGTTTTTAGTAATTAAACTATTAGTGTTAGTCTATTTTAGTACTTAAATTTTTAATTTTTTTAAAGACATACATAAATTTTAGTTTTTGTTTCATTTTAGTACCATATCCTAAAGATTTTAATTTACGTTTCCTTTTAATACATCATTAAAAATTTAATGTTAAATTTTGAAAAAAATAAAAATTTAAGTACTAAAACAGACAAAAATTGATAGTTTAAGTTCTAAATATGTTAAGTTTTTAATGACAAAATATTAAAATAAAATAAAAAATAAATATTACGCTTGATTTTAAAAAACTTAAAAGTTTAGATATTAAAATAGACAAAAATTAATAATTTAAATATTAAATACATAATTTATCCTTAAAAACAAATATGAGATTTCAATTATAGGTTACACAAAATAAGGGGAAGTGGGGGACAGTAACAAAATTCAAGACATCATCGATTAAGCATCAACCGTTCCTAGCCAGAAGGATAAGATCATTCTTCTTATGCGTAGTGAGCCCCGGTAGTACATCAAAATCCAAGTCCTCCTCGTTCATTCCCGTCGGCATTTCCCAATCAAATCCGTAAAGAAGATTAGCAAGCGCAAGCTCCACGGCTGCCATTCCCATCTCCACTCCAGGACAAACTCTTCTACCCGCACCGAACGGTAAGAGCTCGAAGTGCAGTCCCCGGTAATCGACGGTGCTGCCGATGAATCTCTCGGGGCAAAACTCTTCTGGGTTCTCCCAAGCTTCTGGGTCTCTTCCGATCGCCCACACGTTCACGAAGACTAAGGTTTTTGCGGGCACTTCGTAGCCGCCGCCTACGGTGCACTTTCGGAGCGTTTCTCGTGGCAGCAGCAACGGGGTAACCGGCTGCAATCTGAACGTTTCTTTTATCACTGCTTTTAGGTAAACTAAGCTTTGGATGTCGTCTTCGTCTACGAAGCCCTTTTTCCCGACCGAATCCCTCAGTTCTGATTGGGTTTTCTTCATGCAGTTTGGGTTTTTCATCAGGAAAGTCATGACCCATATCACCAGGGCCGCCTTTGTGTCCGTTCCGGCGATGAACACATTCTACGTACAGAGGAATAAGAAGCAAAACATGAGGTCTTTAGAGTACACAAAAGGATAAAGTACACAAATGATTCCTCTATTGATTTGTTAAATTCATTAACTATTAAAATTTATAAAATGATCCTCCGATTATAGAATATTATTTTATTAAATCTTTTGATTATTAAAAATTATAAAATAATCATTTGATTATTTATTTTCTTCTAAACTTATCATTTTATATTAAAAATTAATAATATTTTAAATTGAACATTAACCTACTAACTATGATATGATTAAATCTTACTTAGAATCTTAAACGACTATCATATCACAATCATCATACTAACGTCTAACTTAAAAAATCATTAATTTTTTTTATAAAAAAATAACAATTTTAAAACATAATGAATATTTAGATGATTATTTTATAACTTTTAATATTTGAAAGACTTAATAAAATAACATTTTATAATTAAATAATTATTTTATAATTTTTAATAATAAAAAAATAAAAAAATAATATTTTATAATCGAAAGATCATTTGTATACTTTACTCATAATTAAGTGATATTAACATCTCAACATTAAATAATACACGTCAAGACATTATAATATAATATGAAGGATATAAATATATATATGTTTTATAATGTATTCAAAACCTAAATATATACTAAAATACTCTTTATTTTTTTTATTATAAATTTTAGGGTAAATTAAACTTTTTAGTAATTAAATTATTCGTTTTGATTCATTTTAATATTCAAACTTATTTTTTAAAAATTTAAATGAGATAATAAAATAAAATAAAATAAAAATTAAATTTAACATATTTTTTAAAAAATAAAAAATTTAAATATTAAAACAGACCAAAATTAATAGTTTAAATATTAAATATGTAATTTAACTTAATTTTTATTTATGTAATGGAGATTTAAAAAATTGTGAAGATTGCATAAATGTTATATCTAAAAAAAATCATAATCATAAAGATTAAAATATATTCTATGATTATAGAGTTAAATACTTGAATTTGATGCTGTATGTATATATAATTATGGGCATGGGCATAAAGCATGAAGAAAAACGATGAAGATTTTGAGTGGAGATTAGGTCACCATAAGAATAGCTTTAATATGATCGGTGGTCAGATCGAATGGGAAGTCGCCATCGTCTCGTATTTGCAGCAACACATCGAGTATGTCTCGGTGCTGTGGCTTTACTCTATTCGGATCGAGATGTTCATCGATGAGTTCCTGATAAAAAACATCGAGTTCCTCGAAAGTTTTCTCGAGTCGACCGAGGTATCCGGTGAGCCGATCGACCCAACCCATCAACGGGAAATAATCAGCAAACCCGAAGCTCGCCAACAACGCTTGGCCCTCGTTAAGCAACCCACGGAACCTGCTCCTTTCAACTCCTCCTCCTCCTCCTTCGTCACAACACCTCTTCCCGAACCCCTCTCGACAGACGATCGTCATCGAGAGGCGCATCATCGCCTCGCTCAGGTTGACGGGCGTAGCATCGGCCGACGACCGACGTATGTTTTCCATCAGCCGAGCAACTTCGTCTTCTCGAATGGGAAGGTACTGATGAACTCTGCTAAACAGATGTACAGCACAAAGCTTCCTGACCTCCCTCCAGTAGTCGTTATACGGTGAAAACGCCACGTCCAAGGCGTTGTAAGAGAGTTTGCCGGTGCCGAGTTGATTGGGCCTGCTGCAGAAGTTTAGGTCATGGGTTTTCAAGACTTGCTTAGCCATTTTCGCCGAAGAAACTACGACGGCCGGCTTACGCCCGAGTCGCAGGTACATCAGAGGACCGTATTTTCGAGAGAGTTTCCAGAGGAAAATATGATTAGGTGAGCTATTAAACATCTGCAAGTGTAAGTGACCGATAAAGGGAAGGGCAGGAGGGCCCGGGGGAAGATTGCCATTGTTGGTATGTTTCGAGAGGAAGAAGATGAGAGGTAGAAGAAAGATGAGAAACAATAGTATTGCCATTCTATGAGTATTGTCAATTTTTTTTTTCTGAAATAAAAACGTAAATTAAAGTCAAATATTATGAGATAATTATCTTCCTCTATATTATAAATTATTTATCTTTGTTGATTTTTTCTCCACTCGTACAGTAAAACGATAGAAAAAGCCTTACTTCCATTCAATCATCAACACGTATTTAGGATTACATTACCCTCTAGATTCTTCTATGAACAATTTGTCATACAAATTCTAGAAGCTTGCCAGCTCACCCTTTGTGCCAGGTCACTCGTCATTTATGATCAACATTTTCATGCTTTCCATAGGTTCTAATTCTCTTGTTGAAACTTTCAGTTTGCTACGAAATGAAGTGAAGCAAGCACGAGGAAGAGGTTTAGTGAGGCCATCCGTCTTTTGGTGTTGAGCAGGAACGTAAATTGCATCAGTTGTAATCTTTTTTTCGAACAAAATGAAGATCTAGCTCAACATGTTTTGATTTTGAATGAAGAATAGGATTAACTTTCGGTCGCTACCGCACTCATGTTATCGCTATAAACAACCGGTGTGGAGATGCAGGCCATACCCATCTCGTCCAACAAAGCATGAATCCAAGTAATATTAGCAGCAACATCAGCAACTCTTCGATATTCGATCTCAATAATCGAACGAGATACCGAGCGTTGACGTTTAGAGCCCCACGAGACTAGGTTACCACCAAGAAACACACAAAATCCTGAAAATTGAACGTCGATCATCAACATTACTCGTCCAATCAGCATCAACAAAGGCTTCCAATGCTAAACCAGGGCTATTCTTGCAAAAAACCAAACCAAAATCAAGAGTGTCATCTTAATATCTCAAGATATGTTGCACATCAATCCAATGTTGTTCACGAGGATCGTGCATATATTTAGGGTTGTAAACGAGCCGGGTTGAGTTCGAGTATTGTTGAGCTCGACTTGACTCAAAAACTCACGAGCCTAAAATTTCAAAACTCGACTTGAACTCGAAATCATGAACTGAAACTCGTAAAAGCATGAATCCAAGTAATATTAGCAACAACATCAGCAACTCTTCGATATTCGATCTCAATAATCGAACGAGATACCGAGCGTTGACGTTTAGAGCCCCACGAGACTAGGTTACCACCAAGAAACACACAAAATCCTGAAAATTGAACGTCGATCATCAACATTACTCGTCCAATCAGCATCAACATTACTCGTCCAATCAGCATCAACAAAGGCTTCCAATGCTAAACCAGTGCTATTCTTGCAAAAAAACCAAACCAAAATCAAGAGTGTCATCTTAATATCTCAAGATATGTTGCACATCAATCCAATGTTGTTCACGAGGATCGTGCATATATTTAGGGTTGTAAACGAGCCGGGTTGAGTTCGAGTATTGTTGAGCTCGACTTGACTCAAAAACTCACGAGCCTAAAATTTCAAAGCTCGACTTGAACTCGAAATCATGAACTGAAACTCGTAAAAGCTTGAAAAGGCTCGAAAAGAAAAAAAAATCTTAAACTTTACTCGATTAAAGCCTCGAACTCGAACTCGGACCTAAACCTTAAATACATGAAAATTTTATAATGCATTTTTTAAAAAAAAAAAATCAACACATAAATGTTAATATTATTATTATTTAAAAAAATAAAATCTTAATATATTATATTTTCGAGTTGCTCACGAGCTTTTCGAGTCGAGTATCAAGTAATTCATTTTGGCTCGAGTCCATCCGAGTCGAGTGTTTATCGAGTTTTGACTGAATCGATCTCGAGTAGCTCGATATTTGTCTCGTCTCATTTATATCCCTACATATATTAAGCAACTTTATTGACACTAAAGGCAACGTCAAGTCGAGTGTGATTCAAATAGAAAATCACACTAACAACACTTCGGTAAAACAGAGGATCTGGTAACGAGCTACCACCTTCCTTGCATAACTTTGGTGTAACAACCACTATAACAAAATTCTCAATTTATGACGAATTTTCTACATGGCGTTGCATAAAATGTCACAAAATATGCTATAAAGGTGATATTTTTTTTTCACATTTAGTGATCGATGATATATCTATTATGACAATTTTAAAAATAATACTCTCTTCTCGTCCCTATATGTTTGAAGCTAAAACATACCTCCAAAAAAATTTTGGTGAGAAATTTGATAGTTATTTTTAAAATAAAAAAATATGTTTTATTATTTATCATTTTTTAAATATCATTTTTTATCATTTTTAACAAAAATAATAATATTACTTAACAAAGGTGTTTAAAAATATTCAACCCAAATTATCTGACTCGTTGACCGGTCGATTTAGTTAAAAATTATTCGATGTTTATAATAAATATAATTGAATTTGTAGATCGTGTACTCAATCCATTATTTTTTATGAATTTTTAATTTGACTCGAGTCACAAAAAAAATTTTAACCGAGAATCAAACTCCTCGATTACCTAATTTTTTTGTTTTTTTTTTATTTCTAAAAAAGGTAAACTACACGGATGATCACTCAACTATAGTCAAAAATCATTTTGATCATTGATGTTTCAATTTGATCAAACAGACCATCCAATTATCTAAATGTTTCAATCAAGCCACGCGCCGTTAACAGTTAACGAAACAGGTGATGTGACAGTTAAAAGCATTTTGGTATAATTACACAATTAGTACATGTTACTTATATATTCTTTTAATTTGGTCTTCATTTTAATAAATTAAAATAATAACACTTGTCATCATTCGATTGGATGACTAAATAATATATAAAATTTTCATACGAATAATATAATTAATAAATAAAAAATTAAGAATATTTTTTACATTAATAAAAAATATAAATATATAAAACATATTTATATTCTTTTTTGTTAATATTTAATAATATAATATGAATATATAGTATAAAATATTATATTCATATACTTATTAATATAATACGGATAGTAATTTTTTTGTTAATATAAAATATGATTTGTCATCCAATCGAATGACGTCACGTGTAATTATTTTTAATTTATTAAAATGAGGACCAAATTGAAGAAATATATAAGTAACATGTACCAATTGTGTAGTCATACTAAAATATTTTTAACTGCCACATCACATATTCCGTAAACTACTAACAACGAGTGACTTGATCAAAGCATTTAAATTGTTAGATGATATATTTGATCAAATTAAAATATCAGTGGTTAAAATAATTTTGACCATTATAAAATGGTCACTCTTATAGTTTACCCTTTTAAAAATCCCATTATTTCCCTAACTCCCAAATTAGATATCCCAAACCATACTCTTCCCTCCCCTCAGTCACTCTCTCTTAGGTCTGTCGCTGCTCCTAATCTCGCCGGTCACTGCTCCTAATCTCGCCGGTCGCTGCTCCTAATCTCGCCGGTCTCTGCTCCTAATCTCGCCGGTCACTGCTTGCACCGTCGACCCGTCGTCATACGGCGTCACCATTCGCCAACGACTCTTCATTCATAATGGGTAATATCTTTTCAATTTCAAGAGCTTGATAAAGTCACATTACTTGCGTGTTGAAAGGCTAGGTTCATATTCTCATTTCACTCAATTTTTATCTACTTACACATAAATTAAATTGAAATTATGATTTTGATTTTGATTTTGGACCTCTGAATCAGTTCCGATAGCTTTAAGCCTAAATTTTAGGCTTGCATGGTGTGTTAACTAATGTAAAATTTTGGTTAATTTTTAATTTAAATTAAGTTCAAAGCTTTTGACTCGGGTGATCATCAGATTGTCGAGAATGGAAAAATTTTCTATGTTAAGGTAGCTTTTTACAAACATTTTCCGTCTTAAGTTCTTGTATTTTTTTATATTGTTTTACTACATGTATTGCATCCACAGTCGAACTGATTTTTTAATTTTTGATCAAACCTCGACATTTTTCTGTCTATCTCCATTCACATGTAAATATTCTGGTAGTAAATTACACGTTTAGAATTTAAATTATCAGTCTTTGTCAATTTTAATATTTAAACTTTTAATTTTTTTAAATCATACTCGACGTTTAGTTTTTATTTCATTTTAATACCTCGTCGTTAAAAACTTAACGGGTGATTTGCACATGATACATTTTTATGGGTAAATTACACCATTCATCACTCAATTATTTTCTCACTCTTATTTTGATCACTAAAACTTAACGGGTGATTTGCACATGATACCTTTTTATGAGTAAATTACACCATTCATCACTCAACTATCTTTTCACTCCTATTTTGATCATTAAAACTTATTTTTTTTAATTTAATTACTTAGCTTTCAAATTATTCTTAATTTAATCACTCTAACTTCTAAATTAATTTTTTATTTATATATTTATTAAAATAATAATAAAAAATGTCATGTCACAAATATTATTAATAAAATAAATTAGAGTGCTTAAATATGAGCAATTTGAAAGTTTATTAGTTAATTAAGAAATTTAAATTTTAGTACTAAATAGGAGTGAGAAAATAATTGAACGGATGAATTATGTAATTTACCCATAAAAATGTAATATTAGAGAGAATTTTAAAAAACTAAAACTTTAGATATTAAAATGGATTAAAATTCATAATTTAGATACTAAATACATAATTTACCTTATATTATCCCTTTTTGTATAAAAAAAAGCAACAAAAAAAATGGTGAAGAGTCCAATTAATATGTGAACCGACAACTCATATACTTGAATTAAAAGAAATACTTTATTACGTTTCGTAAACGTATCTTGAAAGTTCGACCATGTAAATCCATCCAACAAGTCATCCACGTTTCCTCTCCCCCCATCTTTGTTTCTTTCACCCTCTTGTTCTTTTTCTAATAGTTAATTTTACCAACACCCTTAAACTATACCCAATTTCTATATTAGTCATTAAACTTTAAAAAAATTTAAATTACTCTTCTGATAATTTGAATAGTTTGAATTAGGGGTGATAATTTTATTTGATTGCGACGGTTTTAGACCCGATTCGAATTGATAGGATCAATAAATTTTTAAAAAATGGATCTAGGTCAAGTGAGATTTTATAAATTGTGATATCAAATCAGATCATGTTCAAATTTAGGTTAAAAATCTTCGTTTCGAACAACTTTAGGATAATAATATAATTTCTTATATATTTAGGGATAATTATTATAATACTCCTCTATCTATAAATTTTGTTAGTTAGGTCTCTAATTTTTCAAATAAAATTATTTTTTATATTTGTGTCGGATCGAATGTTGATTTCTATCTTAATTTTTGAGTTGAATTTCTGGTCAGATGTGATTTCCCTAAATTCAAATCAAATTGAATTAAATTCGAGTGGATGAGTATGCTTTTCGAGTTAGGTTGGTCAAAACTCCAACCTATTATCATCTCGAATTTAGATATATCATGCAAAAACTTATTATCGTTAGAATTTAACATAATTATTTTTTTCAACACATCATATCCAATTTATTAAATTGAGATAATTACAAGGTAATATATGTTTAAAGATAACACTTAATTTTTTGATATTAAACGCTCACACTTACTCGAACCCAAATCCTCAAGAAATACCAATAATTCCTTTATCACAGAAGTTACTTGGTAAATACAAATATGTATATTTTTAAATATGCTTCAGGACACATCTAAATTGATATTTAATGCTTAAATAATTTGTTAAACTAAAAAAAGGATGTGTTTGAAATGATATTAATACTTTAGGGACTAATTTAAAATCTGAATCATAGTTTGGGTATGCATGTTTACATTTGTTTTATCATCAATTCCAACTCTCGGTGTCCTTTCTCCACCTCTCAAAGCTTCTAGATCCCAAATTTTATCATATTTCCCCTTTCTCAACTTCTGATCTTTTAATTTATCCGATCCAAAAATTATCCGAATTCAGTTTGATCGTTCGATAATAAAGGTTCAAACAGTATGACATCAGAGCAATTGACGTCTGGCGGTGATTTCCGGTACTACCCGCTGCAATCGGAGCATCTTCCGTCGATGACGTCTTCGTACTTCTCGTTAGCTCCAGGTGCCGCCCTTGAGTCAACTTGGATTTTCGACGAGTTACCTAAAGCCACCATCGTCTCTGTCTCCAGACCTGACGCCGGCGATATCAGTCCCATGCTCTTATCTTACACTATCGAATTCCAATACAAACAAGCAAGTGCTCCTGATCTGGTTCCTTTTTTGCTTCATTTTTTATGTATATATTTACTAATTTCTTCTTCTTTTTTACTTTGTTCAGTTTAAGTGGCAGTTATTGAAGAAAGCTTCAGACGTTTTCTACTTACACTTTGCTTTGAAGAAACGGTTGTTTATTGAAGAAATTCACGAGAAGCAGGAACAGGTGTGTATATGAAACGACTACTTTTAGCTGTATTTTGCTTCAATTTTTTAAATGTTCTTAATTAGTAACTGTTGGTTTCGGAGGGTTTAAGAGCTTCCGAATGTGGCCTTAACACTGAATATTATTACATTAAAGGTTAAAGAATGGCTTCAAAATCTAGGAATAGGAGACCATTCGCCAGTTGTTCACGATGATGATGAACCGGATGATGATGCTGTTCCTTTACATCATGATGAAAGTGCTAAAAAAAGGTGATTGTTGCTGTCACTGATTTTTTTTTTAAAAAAAAGAAGACAAAATTGAACTCCTCTTGCTTATGAGTGTTTTTTTTTCTATGCAGAGATGTTCCATCGAGTGCTGCCTTTCCGGTTATTAGACCAGCCTTGGGAAGGCAGGTGTCAATGTCGGACAGAGCAAAGGTTGCAATGCAAGAATATTTGAACCACTTTCTTGGAAATTTGGATATTGTCAACTCTCGAGAGGTATGCATTCCTAAACATGGAGATATGATATAATGATGTATTTGTGGCAATTATTTTTGGTTCAATTATATTCATCTTTACAGGTTTTAAGACCATTTTTCATGAGACTAAGGCACTTTAGTATGCCTAGAGAATAAACCATGTAATTTCAGATTATTTTAGGTACTACTGATACGTGTTCAATTTCTCCCTCCAATATTCTATGTTGGTAATAAATGACCAAATTCAATTTTGCTTTTCTTTTTTCATGGAACAATCATGATTCATGATGTAGATGAAACCCCCTCCTATATTCTATATGCTGGTTCAGTGACCTGTCACTCTGTCAGCCAATAAACTAGTAGGATAATGTAGTTGTAGTCACTAGTCAGAGTTCTTAGTTCAACTGCTGTAGATTTGCTCTTAGAACTTGGAACTTGGAATGTGGTTGCTAACTAATAAGTGTTTTATGTTTTGAGTTTTAACCCTATTTGATTGATTGTTGAATTAGTATCTTCTCAAGTTTCTTGTAGGTTTGCAAGTTTTTGGAGGTCTCAAAATTGTCGTTTTCACCAGAGTATGGCCCTAAGCTGAAGGAAGCGTATGTATTGGTGAAGCATCTACCAAAAATTGCCCAGAATGACGATTCTGATAGATGCTGTGGATGTCAGTGGTTCAATTTCTGTAATGACAACTGGCAGAAGGTAATGTGATCTACTTTCTAAAACTTTGGTTTGTATTCAATATAAGTTGCACTTGTTTCAGAGCATGTGCTACACGTGCATTTGGTGATGCAACCACTAGGCACATCTTTTCTCTGTAAATATTTTTGGGTTGGAGAGAAACTGGTGTGACCGTGCGCATCTTTTGTGCTTCAGCAAGTGGTGTCACTAGGTAAGCTGTGCTTAGTGATATAGAGTATGCATAGGAATCTCCCACTGTTGTTTAATGGGCGAGATGTGTGACGTGTCAAACTGAATAAGATTATTGGATTTTGGGAAGAGGATGCTGAAGATCATATGTTGATTGACTTGATTCTTATGCTTGAGAGCTTTGGAGCTGTTGTCTCTTACCTTGCAAAAATGTTCAGATTTTTTGTGCCTTAGTCTTGCCATATAGACAACTCTCTGGTTGAACCATCAAAATAACACTCCTTTGCCATCATTTTGGGTATTTTCACATTTTAGCGTATTTCTACGAGACATGTTATTCTTTCCTCATTTGTAATGATTGTTTACAGGTGTGGGCTGTACTGAAACCTGGATTCTTGGCCTTGCTGGTAGATCCTTTTGATACCAAACCTTTAGATATTATTGTTTTTGATGTATTACCAGCCTCAGATGGCAATGGTGAGGGCCGGGTATCGTTAGCGGAAGAAGTAAAGGAACATAATCCATTACGCCATTCTTTTAAGGTCAGTAGAATACTGCTTTCTGTCCTTTTGGAAAAAAAAACTTTCCTGCAGATGGGCATATTATTTTAACATTGTCATGATAAAATTCAAGTCATTGTTGTGGTTCACATTCAATGACCTCTCTTTACTTTATTCTCTCATTGTGATTTGGATTAAGAATATCATATCCCCAACAAACAAACAAAAAAAGAGTAGAAAATAGTTCTTCCAATTAAAAAATTTTAGTGATACTCCTGTCATTGGAAAAGATATTTATACTTATTTCTATAACCAGATTTATAGACTTTACTAGCGTCACATTTTCATTAAACATTTAGGGCCTAGATAAATATGTGGGAATTTCTCGATACATTTAGGTTTTATTCCTACACATTAAATGAACTACTTATCTCTATGATGATGGGTTAAGTTGTATATCCGATGAATACATCTAGAGATATTCACTTTCTAACAGATGATTGGGAACTTCAAAAGGTTACATGTGGGGTCCGGAGTATAAGGTTAAGAACGAAAAGTAGTGCTAAAGTTAAAGATTGGATTGCTGCAATTAATGATGCTGGGCTTAAGCCCCCTGAGGGCTGGTGTCATCCTCATCGCTTTGGATCTTTTGCTCCACCAAGAGGTTTGACAGAAGATGGTAGTCAGGCGCAATGGTTTATTGATGGTATGGCTGCTTTTGATGCTATAGCTTCATCAATTGAGGATGCTAAATCAGAGGTTTGTGCTTTCTACTCTTGCATGTTGAAATTGGTTGTGTCCCAACTGTTTTTTCTTCTCTTTAGCATAAAGCCTGTTGTATGCTTCAAAAATTAATGCAGATATTTATTTGTGGCTGGTGGCTTTGCCCAGAATTATATCTACGCCGACCTTTTCACGAGCAGGCATCCTCCAGGCTTGATGCTTTACTGGAAGCCAAAGCTAAGCAAGGGGTCCAGGTGTTGTAATCTTTGGCTTATTTATTAGAAGATTTATTGTACTATAAAGTCCATAAATTATTATTTCTTTTTTTGTAAATAAAATGGATGTTGAGTTTCTGTTTGATACTTCGAAGACTTTTGCTTTGATTTTGAGCGCATTAAATTCTAAACCTGATTTAACTATTGCATACGTATACAATCTCTTTTATTTTATTTTTTGCAAAAACGAAATCTACAGTCCTACTATTTAGATCATTGCTCAATCCTGAGGTGAAAATGTTGAACATATCTATGTCTGCAGATATACATCCTTCTCTACAAAGAACTTGCCCTTGCTTTGAAGATCAACAGTGTCTATAGCAAGAGAAAGCTTCAAAGCATTCATGAGAATGTGAGGGTATTGCGTTATCCAGATCATTTCTCTGCTGGTGTTTATCTATGGTATGCATTATTTGGAGAATTGAGTGTGTACTGGCATTTTTCGTTACATTGGATATTTCACTTTGATATATATTTCTTTTACCTGTAGGTCCCACCATGAAAAACTTGTAATTGTTGATTACCACATTTGTTTTATTGGTGGACTTGATTTATGCTTTGGTCGCTATGACACGTTTGAACACAAGGTGGCTGATAATCCTCCCTTAGTATGGCCTGGAAAAGACTACTATAACCCACGGTAAGCTATTAGCAAGCCAAGACTCTCCTCGAACTTGAATTGCATTCATATCAGCCTTTCATGAAATTGGGATGTTTCAGTTGTCATCAGTTGTTTTATACCTAATTTATATGCACTATTCTTCTTTAGTGTGCTATTACCAGGAAGACATCATTCCAAGTAACTGTTTGATTTTTTTGGCTGATTTTCATACCTCATCTCTCATAACTTTGGGATTGCGCATCAATAGATGTTCTCCAACATTTTTCTGAATTCTATTGGTTCAATTTTATGTAAAGAGATCAGGAGTTCAAAACCTTCAAGAGTTCATGGCTGCCTATTGCTCCCCCTTCTTCCTTTCTGATCATTTTCTTGAAAAAAGTGTAATATTCATGGTTTGAAGTAATAATGAATTGATTTGAAGCTGTTGCAGTGTAACAAATGGAACCAAATTCATTTTTACAGGGAATCTGAACCTAATTCATGGGAAGATATAATGAAAGATGAGCTGGATCGAGGAAAATATCCTCGAATGCCTTGGCATGATGTCCATTGTGCACTCTGGGGACCACCTTGTCGTGATGTAGCACGCCATTTTGTTCAGCGCTGGAACTATGCCAAGGTCATATTTATTTAGAATTAATATAGAGTGAACTGGAACAATTCTATAAGTTCGCTATTTCACGAAGTTCTGGTGTTTTCTTTACCAGAGGAATAAAGCTCTATATGAGGAAGCAATTCCACTACTCATGCCTCAGCATCATATGGTGATTCCACATTATATGGGAAGAAGCAAAGAGATTGAAATTGAGAGCAAGAACGATTTGGAAAACACTAACGGCATCCAAAGACGGGATTCATTTTGTTCTGGATCAGCTGTTGAAGATATTCCTCTACTTTTGCCTCAAGAGGCTGAGTTGGATAGTTGCAGTGGGTATCCGAAATCAAAAGCGTTGGACTCCACTGGCAGTAAAAGTGTTTCTTTTGCATTTCGGAAGTCCAAAATAGAACCAGCAGTTGCAGACACGCCCATGAAAGGCTTTGTTGATGACCTTGATTCCTTGGATCTTGTGGAAAGATCTTCGGATGCAAAAAGGCTGCCTGGAAGCAAAGCTGCAGACCCAGAGTGGTGGGAAACACAGGAACGAGGTGATCAAGTCGGTTTTGTAAATGAAGCCGAACAGGTCGGTCCCCGAACTTCATGTCGTTGTCAGGTAGGTTGTATTCTCATCAAGACTTTTGCCAGTTTTGCATCTGGCTTCGAATATTCATTTATATTTTGTTACTTTTATGTCCCAATTTTTCAGTCTTATTGCATTAGTAAATAAAAAAATTCATGTAAAGGAAGTAGTGTCTCTGGTCATGATTTTGGTTCAAGCCATCAGTACTGTGCTTTTTGCAGCTATGAGGCTCTTCTCTGCCAAATAAGCTTTAACTTTCACTAATGAAAGGAAGTCTATCATTTATCCGCTGCAGTCTGCAGTTAGTTTGGGCTGCAATTATGATGGAGCATGATCTGTTACTTCTATTGTTCAGTTTAACTTCTTTTTCATATAAAGAGAGATTTTTCAACTTATTAAGTGGTGTGAACTTGTGATGATCTCTAATATTCAGATTATAAGAAGTGTCAGTCAGTGGTCTGCTGGAACCAGCCAAATAGAAGAGAGCATTCACTGTGCTTATTGTTCCCTCATTGAGAAAGCGGAACACTTTGTTTACATAGAGGTAAGTTCTGATTTTCTCAATATTTTATTTTCGGTTCTCTACAAATCATGTAATTACATATGGCTTACACTCCTGTTGCTTCATTCTTTGCAGAACCAATTTTTTATATCAGGCCTCTCTGGGGATGAAATTATTCGGAATCGTGTCTTGGAAGCATTATACCGGCGTATTAAGCGGGCTTACAATGATAAGAAGTGTTTCAGGGTTATTATCGTCATACCACTCCTTCCTGGTTTCCAGGTTGTACATTTTGGCCACTTTTTTTTATTATTCATGTATTTTAATTTTGGTGTTCAGATAATAGTTATGTTTGAACTGATTTTTAAGTTTTGACAGGGTGGGCTTGATGACGCTGGTGCTGCATCTGTGAGAGCCATAATGCATTGGCAGTACCGAACCATTTGCAGAGGCCAGAATTCAATACTGCATAAGCTTTATGAAGTTCTTGGTCCTAAAACTCACGATTACATATCTTTCTACGGCCTTAGATCGTATGGTCAACTTGCTGGTCATGGTCCCGTGGCTACAAGTCCAGTATGTTCTTGCACTAATAGTAATATGTTATCTCGCTTATCATTTTGCCGCCTCTATGCAGTTCTCTTTTCCGTGGCATTATATCATGTCGTAATACTTAACAATGAAAGTTTAACCTGTAGCATGTGCATGTTTGATGATATATTTGTGCCTACTATTTTTCCAGGTATATGTGCATAGTAAAATCATGTTAATTGATGACTCTGCAGCCTTAATTGGATCTGCTAATATCAATGACAGAAGTTTACTCGGGTCGAGAGATTCAGAGGTACCACTGCATTTCCGGATAAGTTGATTTATGGACGGAATACTTGCACCATCTTTTTTCTCTTTGGCAAAGACATAACAGATACTGTGTTAATCCCCAAGAAATTTGATGTCGGTGAACATTCAGATTGGCGTGATTATCGAAGACAAAGAATTTGTTGATTCACGCATGGGAGGAAATCCATGGAAGGCTGGAAAATTCACGTTGAGTCTGCGCCTCTCATTATGGTCTGAACATCTCGGTCTTCGTAAAGGAGAGGTTTGATAGCCCCCATCAATTCTTTTTCCTAATTTACATTCATTTTCAGCTGATATATTTGTTCTTCCTTTTCACCTCAGATGAATCAAATAATCGATCCCATTAGTGATTCAAGTTATAAAGACGTATGGGTTGCTACTGCGAAGGTAAGAACTGGATTTGTATGTTTCTTCAGTACTTTCATATTTTTTTATATTCTGGAATGCTCGGATTAAAAGGAATCTGATGATACCTTGATCTAAGAACCTATGTTAATTGGACTCGGATGCGAGTGTCGGAGTAGAGGATGTATCCCATATGGGTATGGTCGGATTTGTTGGAGGTCACATTCCTCATATATGTGTCGGACAGGAGTGCCGAACATGATTTCAAAACAAAAAATGAGGAGTCAAAGCAACATAGTTAAGCACTTGCAATTGCACAATGACCTGATACATTCATATTATGAAACAGATGAATACAACAATCTACCAGGACGTCTTTTCTTGTGTCCCAAGTGATCTCGTACATACCCGGTACGACTACATCTGTCTATCCTCCTTTTCTCTTTGGTTGTTATATTACCGACACTTGACTCGATGGGCTCTAATCTGCAGGCTTGCGCTCCGACAAGACGTCACCTTTTGGAAGGAAAGACTTGGTCACACTACAATCGATTTAGGAATAGCCCCTAAGAAATTGGAATCCTTCCACAACGGAGATATCAAACAAACGGGTCCGATGGATAAGTTGAAGTCGGTACGTGGACATCTTGTTTCTTTCCCCTTGGATTTCATGTGCAAGGAAGATTTAAGACCCGTGTTTAACGAGAGTGAATATTATGCATCTCCCCAAGTTTTTCATTAAGTCGGGAGCACTCGAAACACCATTTTTTTTGCATCCATTGCATAGGAAACCTCACCCCATTTTTTCCGCAACAAATTTATACGGAAATCGTACTATACGTATGTATTTATGTATCGATATCGTCGTCGTCATTCTTTGTATGATCATCGACTACTGTTATATCATCTCTTGGATCTTCATCTTGAGGCTCCTCGTTTCATCATCATCTCCATCCAAGCGTCGTAAAGCCAGGTTGAGCCGAGCTTTCTCCTTTACAGGTTCGACTTCCCATCGTACATTCTTCTGTTTCGATATATTTATTTTGATAGTTCTGGCAATTTGTGTATTCGTACGATATATGTATACTGTATTTGTACACTATATGCATACTTGAGGCATACGTGAACTTATGTTTATCATATCGAATTAGTAAAACAAATCAGTTTTATACATTTCTATACAAATTATTAGTCTTCGGTGTGTTTTAGTATTTAAATTTTTAATTTTATCAAAATTATATTTAAACTAAATTTTTTGTTTTATTTTAGTACTTCTGTTTAAAATTTAATGTTAAATTTTAAAAAATTAAAAGTTTAGGTATTAAAAATGATAATTTAGATACTAAACGTGTTAGTGTTTAATAATGGGTGTTAAAATGAAATAAAAAGTTAAGTTTTTAATAATAGGTGTTAAAATGAAATAAAAATTAAATATTAGGTATGATTTTTTTAATTGAAGTATTAAAATATATTAAAATTGATAGTTTAGATATTAAATGTAACACCCCATTTTAGGGGTTAAAATTAAAAAATTATAAAGTGACTGATTTAATTGATATTTTGAAAGAAACATTGGGGATTAAATTGTAAGATTTCAAAGTTGGCATACCGTTTTATGAAGTGCAGGAAGTTCAGTGGCTAAACTCTTGGTTTACCCATTGTTTATATATGTTGAATTATAAATCTTTTTCCCCGTGCGCAGATGCATATTTTCCAGTTTTTCCTTATCCAACTACCCTCCTTTCAACTCCGATCTACTCGCCGTCCGACCTCCAAACGACGAGCCGAAACCACCATCGTGTTCGTTGTCAATCGAGGAACAAAACCCCTCAAACCTTTCGTCGTGAATCATCGCCGTTCGTCGTGAATTTCAGTCGGAAATATCGTCGGTAATAACTCGGTTTTAGTTGATTTTTCATCGATTCACGACGATCGGGTCATCCGTTTACGACACCTCCCGCACCATCGTGTTCGTTGCATCGTTCCGAGTTCGATGGTGTCATCCTTAGTCTCCGTCGACGGTGGCGCGTGAGGAGGTGAAGCGGTCAAAGTTTCCGATTTGTTGAAATCGAGCTCTCCGCCGTTCAAAATTGTGAACCGAGCTTTGTAAGTATCTCGAAATCGCTCAAAATAATTTTTAGAAATTTTTCCGGGATTTTAGCACTGTTCACGCGCCGCCACTGCCCGTGGGAAAGAAAAAAATGACCGGTTTGACCGGTTTTGGTGCATAGTTGACCGGTTTGACCGGTCACAACCCGACCCGACCCGTTGACTCGACCCGTTGACTCGTTGGCCGTTGACCGTCGTTGACCACTGTTGACCAAAACTTTGACCGGCTTTGACCGGGCATTAAACGACCTTTGACTTCGACCGAGTATACCTATCCTGACATTTTCCGACGTTCCAAATCCGATTTCGCTGTCCGTTTTTCGAAATTCGAACCCGAAGGCCTCGAAATTGCCGGTCAAACCCGTTGACTTTGATTTTGACCGAAAATTCTAAATTTCTGAAAAGTCATATTTTATGCTTTCGACGTCCTGAATCCTAATCCGAAGTCCGTTTTACCAAATTCAAACCCGGTAAGTCGTCTTTCACTGATTTATCACCCGATTCGATCCGTTTATCGTAATTAAGCTTCGTTTCTGATATAATTTCTGTTTATATGGATCCGAGGAAATATTGGAAGTTGAATTGAAGATCAAAGGTGTTCGAATGGAATTTTTATGGTCGATCAGTATTGCACAGAAATCGAGGTAATACTTTACTACCTCTTTATGCTTTATAGAACATGTTGGTATTGGTAAATGCATGAATGGAAATGTTTGGTCTTATATGTGTAATAAATGAAGATCTACACTAGATACGAATACGATAGAAAATAGATAACTGAATATGGCTCAGATGACTATTATAAGAAATTGGAGGACAGTTGGAATTAAATTACAAGTTCTGAAATTAAGTGATAAAAGAATCAACCATGGATTGTAGATTATAATTTATCTTATTAAAGGTACTTAGATGATAAATTATGAGAATATTTTGATTAGATAAAATTACGAAATTACCCTTATGGTGGAAAATGACAAGAATTGTCTCTGGAAGTGGATTAATAAATCTGAAAAGAATTATTGATCTGCTAAAACTATTGATGTGCATAAGGAAATGTTAGTTTTACTTGGAAATTATGGATAACCGGTTTTTAACACCAAGAGGGTTTATGCAAGATACTAGAAGTCTGTTAAGGAATCACTTCAAGATCAGAGAAGGTTCGGTAAAGCAATTAATCATAGGATCTCTAAATTATATTATTTTCGTTAAAAGCTAATATCGAAATTATCTGGTTAAGAAATTACATAAATGCCCTTAAGAGATCGAATAGTTTGAGTTAACCCTGAATGAAAAAATACTTAGAGGATTCATACTTAACTCGATTAAGTACAGATTTGATTGTTAAGATCCTGACTTAGCAGGAAAATTCATGATATTCCGTTTGTAAAATCTGAGAAGGCACTTGACCCGAAAATGTCCGAGAAATGAGTAAATACCTGAAGAATAATTTATCGGGGGTATTCTGCTGTCAGAATTATTCGAAAAGACTGAAACAAATGATGAGATTGAATTAAATAATAAGATCGAATGGAGGAAAAAGATATAAATTGGAATTAAATAATAAGACTGAATGGAGGAAAAAGATTGAAATACCGTGGATCTGTAAAATGATCAAAATACCCCTGTAATGGAAATAACTCAAGAATGTCACCAAGCTCAGGAATGATTGGATATCCTCGAGCTCTGAAATGAATAGAATAAAACTGAACATCAAAATTATCAAAATACCCTTATGGCCTAAATTAAGTAAATGTCTTGGATTAATTAAGGAATCCAAGTAAGCATAGGTATTGGACTACCTTTAAAGGTAATGGAAAATAATTTAAGTGAGTAGATCAACCCTAAAGCTATGTCAATACCTGAATGACATAGATATTACTGGAACATGTGTTCGTCTTCTCAAGTTTGACTCGATGACAAATTTTGGAAGTATTCAGTTCAGCTAAGATCTAGATCGTATTCAGTACTAAGAATTGGACGTTTGTTCGACAAATCAACCACGAAGACCAAATTGAATGGAATGGAAGTACAACATGTATATGAAATTCAGGAACGTTTAAATTATTCTGGAAAATCCCAAAGTAACTGGATTGGACTTGAATGTTAAATGAATTAAGTAACCTCAATGACTGAGGATTAAGTAAGAGATCGAAATAAGTTTGGAAACTCGGATGAACTTATATGATGTATCATCCCTATGGATTATGAACCACAAATCAAGTACGTTAGCATTTTATGGTATAGTTGAAACATGTAAATAAAATAAAGACCATTAGAATATTTGCTTGTCTCCTTAAGATCTATTCAGTGATGACTCAGATGATGATTTGTGGATAAGAATATTTGGTATTAAAGAGTAAATACCCTGAAAGGTTAATGAATTGACAAGTTGGTAAGTATTGGTTCTGGAAGCTAATCATCTGGAGTTGTTCGATAATCGGATTAATCGTCATAGATTGTAAAGATTCTGAATACCTTCAAATTTCGTAGAGCTTCAGAAAAGTGTACGAATAAGATGATCCCGATGAATCATATCCTGAATAACCGATGATTTTGTCAGTTAACAAACTCTTCTAATAGTGATTCTAATTTCCAACATTCTATTGGTAAACTGAAGATTTACGTTTCTTTGCCCGATAAGATTATCATGTATCTCTAAATAATATTTGGAAACTCTAGTGTGTTCCCTACTTATATGAATATTTTATCTGATTTCTGATTTGAATTCTGTTTTGACATCTGATCTGAAATCTGTTCTGATTCCTAACCTGGATTCTGTTATGATATCTGATCTGAATTATGTTTTGATTTTTGATATCTCCGTTTACCGACGGAGAAATGTTTTATCTGGGGGGTTTATTGTTGGAGGAAGATTATCTGCAGACTCCTCGGCTTTGTGCTCAGGGTCTAAATGGCATGTGCGGTTGGGTGTATGGTTCTGGGGAACCTACACATTTATGATGTGAACGGATGGGGGTATATATATATATGTTTTAAAAAGATCTGAAAAGTTACATGGTTTTTGGGAACACACTAGAAAACCTATTCTGATCTCCTGAACTCAGTCATCCGAAATATTTCTCTGAACTGAAAGCTCATTGTCCGTTACCACCCGAAATATCAGTAGAATCTCTGCTCAGCATAAAAATATGTAAATGCTCAGAAGCAATAAGGAAATAAATATTTATATGTATCTGCACGTTCATCAGCATCATCTGGTAGTTCTGTATTACTGAGCTTTCCAAAGCTCACTCTATTACTCATCTTTTCAGGTTGAAAGAATTGTACCAATGCATCTATCGACTTCAGTAAGGGAGTTCGTCCGGAGTTGTTGCAGAGTAGGGTACATGTGATTAGGGGGCATGTAATTGTATTTTGATTTATATACGAGTATGGAAATCTGTTTTATTTTTAAATAGTGAAAACTGATTTTATAAGTTTACATGTTCTGAAAAAAAAAAGTTTTAAATTTTCAGCTATTTTTACAGTGGGTCGCTCCGGTGGCCCTAATGTGACTTCCCGGATCAGATCGGGCTACCCGCATCGGTCTGGGGTTACATTAAATGTGTAATTTATATTATAGTTTAATGGTCAACTTTAATTAAAGTACATGATTTACTAAAGAAATTAGGTTAATAGAAAAATCAATGGAAGTCCACAAATTTAATTTAATTTTACGT